TTTTTTATATTCTATTTAGTTTAGTTGATGCTCGCGCTTTGATAGATGAGATTAATTAAGGATGGAGAAGATGAATTAAAAAAATACAACTTTTGAGACGATGAATTAAAAAATTAAAAAACTTTTAATGATGAATGTACAAAAATTTCCCATGTTCTTTACTATTCAGTCTAGATATGGATTTTGTGCCAACTATTCTTTTGAAGATAGCATTTAGTAATGCGGTATTTCTTTATCTGTTTTAAGACGACAATCGTTCGGTGATTCATGCCATGCCTAGCGGGCACTTCGCTCTGACTACTCACTCAGCCCCGGATGTTGACTCAACAATAGTGAATGCTTGCTCAGTATTTGCTTGAATAAAGTAACGGCTGAATCACAACAGCCGCGGTCCTTGTTGATTAAAAGGCTATTGATGATTGACTCACATTGATGAGTTGTAATCGTTATTAAACATGTCTCAGATGAGTAAGTTTGCTTTGTTCAAAAATTTAAACAAAGCAAATAAATAAATTTAAACTTTTAATGTCTAAAATAATTTTGAGTTTGAGTTTGATTTTGAACCCAATAATCGAATTTAATTTGCTTATTCTTAGGTTAAGTTATAGATAATTCTATTATATTTTCTATCGTGTCCATTCGTAAACGTTCTAAGTTAATTTCCATGATTCCCTCTTAAATAATTTTTAAAACCATGAAATGAAAATTAGATCTACAAAATAAATTGATGTCATCGATAATAATTGTTGGCGGAATAAAAGTTATTCTGACGGCGTTACCTGAGCGTGTCGTACGCCTGTCGCCGCACGAGCTGTGGCTTCTCACCATACAGTATAACATCCTGCCTTGTGCCTGCTTCTCTTCTACTAGAACGTATTCCTTCTCATGTCCTGTATTGGGCGTGCAGCCAAATATTGAAGAGACCATTGTTTGGAATTGTTTTTGTGTTTGTTCCTGGAAATGTAGTACGGTATCTATTACGTATATTATCTACACTTATAGAGAACTTTTCAAATCAATAAGAATGCTTTTGGTTTAAACAGGAGTAAGTTGGCGTGTGGTGAAATTAATTCAATTAGATGGGCATTATTCGAATGAATTAATTATGATAAAATACTAAGGAATAATAATGGTGTATCACAGATCTTGGGATTTCTCCTTCTCTTTTTAAAATTGGAAAAATCTGCCACGTATTGTCAGATAAGTAACTGAATTAGCATAAATATTATTCACTACGAGGTCAACACGTAAGTTATCATACAAAATGATGCTGGTGAACAATTGGATGCTGATTTGACATGCCTCTCATAAAAAAATAACATTTCTAACGACCCTTAATTCAATCACAATAAATCAATATTTTGACAGTGATTCATAAGGAAAGAGCACATATTTTCCAACATACGATCTTCATAGCATGAGATGTTGAATGACATGGCTATTACGAACGCATCGCGATTCCCTGAATCGGCGACACTACTGATTCATCACCGGATGTTGCTTGTGACCGGTCTATTGCTTTCTTGCCCTATGTACACATGACGCGTCACTCGACCGTTCTTCGGATTTCCTGAATCTTCTCGAGATAACAATTAGAACATTTGAAAAGTCAAACCGCTAAATATTCTTCATAAAACTAAACAACGCCATGCAACACATTATATAAGCTTTAATTCAGCTTGGATTATGCTTCTCTATATGATAGATAATGATAATTTTTCCAAAAAGTAATAGTTATGATACAATTGTTTGATCCATGCACTGTTCGAAAAACTACCGTTAAACGATTTTACCGGCGCTTCAGTGACCGGCCGGCACGTGAAAAGACACCGTGTGTCCGTTCTTTATTCCAATTTAACACTAGAAACCCGTAAAACAAGTGGAAAAATGACGAAACGGTATATTTTCACGGGGTGGCCGGTCACGGTTTATTTTCACGCCGGTGTGGCCGCATTTTCATGGTTTTTCTCGAACAGTGTGCAGACTCATACAATTTACAGAATATCTATTTCTCGGTTTGCTGGAGGAGATTCTAAACATAAAGATGTTAATCATTGAAAAATACATTTCAAATGTCAATCGTTCTTGCAATCATTTTAAGTGATAATTTATCCAATATTTTGCAAAATAAGATTATTTACGCTAAGATCTTTTGAATTTTTGATGGAATTTATCTCGTGAAACTCGGGAGATGAAATACTCGCGGTTAACCGCTGTATTGGCACCCGGACAAATACATTTCAAATGTCAATCGTTCTTGCAATCATTTTAAGTGATAATTTATCCAATATTTTGCAAAATAAGATTATTTACGCAAAGATCTTTTGAATTTTTAATGGAATTTATCTCGTGAAACGCGGGAGATGAAATACTCGCGGTTAACCGCTGTATTGGCACCCGGACACATGCATGTGACGGACGCCGCGTTAGTCATTGCCGCACTCACGGCTTTGTTTCTCACTTATTTATGAAAGGATCGGAAATTCCCGGAGAATTAGCTGGAAAGTGCATCATTCACGGAGGATCTGAGTAACAATCAAATTTATAGCCAGTTACAAACTAATGTTCGGCGTAGCGACTGAGAAGTACATCCTGTTAATAAACTTTTTCGTCACAAAGCACATTGAATGATACAAGAACAGAACCGCTGCTGCCTCTTAATGGGATCGAATGGAATATTCCTGAAATGTTTATAACATATATAATAATGAAGGCTAGAATTTCACAGTATGCAATGGGAATATTTTTGAATCGTTTTTAAATAAAATGACTCATTCGAGACTCGTCGATCCAATCCTCTAATTACATCGTGTCTTGTAACAATAATAATTTGCTAAATATTTTCCAATATTCGTATCATTAATAAAAAACATTTAAGATTGCTCTAACTCCTGAAAACTGATCTAATATAATTAGAACTTAAAGAATCATTGCTCATTAAATAAATAGAGTGCATCCACTCATAGCAATAATCAAGCATACTTTTGTTTAGAACAGCAAGGAGAAGAATGCCTCAAGTCTCAACTTGGTCAAGATGTTGCAATGAAGCGTAATGTAAATAAGAGGGTAACATCTCCTCTTTATTCAATTTCATCATTATTTTTGATTATCCAACCAATCATGTCCCTTGAGTGAATTATTTCTTCGACAAGTATGCAATAAAAAATGATATCAAACTACGGCGAGACTTTCTTTTTGCACGAGTCATCTTAAAAAGTCTCAAAGTTTAAAAGAAATATAATATAGAAAACACTGTGTGGATTTGAACCCTATACTACGCACAAGCCCTGCTTATAAATGAGTTCTAACAACACCCAACAATGTACGTGAAGAATGAGATCATGTGTTTCCGTGACCGGAATGCTATGGTGCAGTCTGACGTGCACGCGACAACGATCGCCAGGTCACGCGACACTTGGTTTGTGCCATTAAGCTGATGGGGCAACGATTTTTATTTATTATCCTTTACATTCATCCATATTATAGCCGTCTGAAATAATTGTTTGATTGTGATGTAGGATTTAAGACATTATTGGACGAGTAATCACTCGTGTCCACTTGATTCCACTTGCTTTTGGGTTGAATTTGTGATGATCTTCAATTATTAAGTGCTTAGTCGGCCGCTTGTGACAGATAAATGGAGAAATAATGCTTTATGGGCGATCGAAATTCTCGGTTCACGTTTACTGTGAATGTAAAACGAGCCCACGATTTTGAGAAAAACGAACCATGAACATATCAAATCCTTTTTAATTCAAAATAATGACTAAATAATGAGGGTTTAAGCGTGATAAAAACTATCGCACGAGGGAAAAATGAGGAGCATTTCAAAACAACTACAAACGGATGGTATTTATGAATGTATATATATTGACTCAAGACTTCCTTGAATTCAGTCGAGTATTGATGAATACCTGTTTACAGGTTGACTTACATTAAATATTCATAAGTAACGTCTGCACTGTTGCTTCGAGTTGACTTGGCTGTCATAGCAACCAGCCATCTGTATTTGAACGCTAGGCCTTCATTTTTTTACAAGTTGTCGTCACGCTCGCGTTCGCCATTGCCCACACAACAAATGTCATCGTCACACAACTCTTGTCATCGTCGAGGCCTCTACTCGCCTGGATCAGTCAGCATGGTTCTGTCATAGACTTTATTATCTTTCACTCCGACACTTGTGATAATCTTTGATGGTGACCGCCTGCAAAACAGCTATTCTGTGATAGCGACACGAGTTCGTTTTAAAAGTTTCGATAATAATTGAACTGTTCTCATGTGCAGTTATTAGCAACACAAATGAATTCTTATAATTTAGTATGAAGTTCGCAGTGAATCATGCATATCCTATATTACTATGTATATGTTTCATAAATGGCATAAGAAACACTGTTAAAATCAGTATATTTATATTGAAATTCATCTCATGGAGAATAAATCGCTCGATAAGATTGAGGTTAATGAACACGGGTATTAGTGAAACCTATATAGTCTTGAGTGCAAGTCGATGTCGGTGACTTGTGACGTAGTTAGTCAATTATTCCTTCTAATCACATGACCACTAGGAGCAGTGGACTGTATGCATGACCGAAAACCAGTCGATGTATCCATGGTTACATTCACTGAAACTCTAGAGAATGGCATCAAAGTTATGTATAATCAATGCCAACACTCGGTGACGTTGAACATCTGTTAAATCTTGAACCGTCCGTTGAACACGACAGCTATCTGACGCTCATTCCTGGTATTTTCAACGATTTCTTGATAAGTTCAATTATTTTGCTTTGAACCAATTATTTGGAACCTAGAGTGATTTTTACAATGTGAATACGAGACAAATAAATTCCTTTTTAATAATATATGTTTGTTATGCCGTATTATCTATTTTTCTGTATGTAATTCTTATGTAAACTCTTAACTATTTAGGGGCAGTTGAACTAATTAGATAATTTACGATAATTTTGTCCACACGTGATGCTCATTAATCCTTTTTGCTTCAGTTATACCTGGACAAGTTCGGTTACATGAACTCCACAGCCACGAACCCTGAGAATGGCGCTCTCCTCTCAGAAGCCGCAGTGCGACAAGCAATACTTGACTTTCAGGTGAGAAATTTCTTATTAAACTAGGTGACAATTTGGAAGTTTTTCATTATTTTGCAAATATTTTCAGCATAATTCAGAGAATATACAGTAATTAAAAAGTATATGAGAGTAAATAAAGTTTTGTTATTTATTTCTTCCACAAATACTATCGAGCTGTGGCAGGTTTTTGTTTACTGGATCGATGGCCATCAGTATGCAAGGCCCTCGTTAGCATGACCGCTCCTGAAGCACTTCGTGGTACAGCGATCAATGCAGAGCTATTAACCAGATCTTAAATTATTTATTGCCTCCATCATCGTCTAGTAAACGATTCGAATTATTCCATTCTAAGTATTCGTAAAGGTATATTGGCGGCGTCACAGTTTTAGAATTATTCTTTGTAAACCTAATTGATTTATTGTTACTGGTGTCGTCTGTATAGAGTACTGCATGTTAACCCAAGTATCGCATTAAGAATTAGGCTTAATGATCACAATGGGGTTAATTGAAGTAAGTTTAATAGATTAATGCTGCTTTTTTCCTTGAACTTTCCATACGAGGTTCAGAAGAAGAAGCAGGTTTGATAAGCTCGTGTAGCTATTTCCCAATACTCTGCTTACGAATTTAAGAAGAAGAACGGTAAATGGGCTTATCTTAACTATTGCATCGTTCTCTTCTTACGAGTATCATATGAAGAAGTTCAATAAGTTTGATAGGCTTATCGTACGTAGCTATATCCTCGTACACTACACAACGGTAATTGAGTACAGGATAAGAAAATCTAGAGACAAAATTCTAATTAGAAAACGGGACAATATCGATATTTATCAGATTTTTGTAGTATTGTTCAAAAGATGGTAGATTATTTGAAATATTACACTTCACTATACAGATGTATTAATTGTGTGGTAGGCTTCTTCTTATACAGGGTGTTTCAGAATTAAGTAACCCTTTTAATTTGTTAATAAATAAAAAACTAAGAACGTTATGAAGTTGAAACTTGTTTTGTTTAAAAACTAGGATACAATATTACCATAAAAATGTTCTTCTTCTAAATAAAGCAAGTTTCAACTTCATAACGTTCTTAGTTTTTTATTTATTAACAAATTAAAAGGGTTACTTAATTCTGAAACACCCTGTATTATTTCCTGTGCGCGTGAATTTATTTTTGACCCATATTCACTGTAATAGAAATTGTCGTTCAAATAATTTTACTATAATGCAGTACATCATTTGTCTCTAATGCAATATTGTTGCCATACTGCAGGCATTCGTGGGTCTGCGGTAATATTGCAATGTAATATATACTTGCCTCTAATGTAATATTCTTGCTGACATTCGCTGGTCTGTGATTAACGATGCCATAAATAATTTGCCTCTAATGTAATATTGTTGCCATACTGCAGGCATTCGTGGGTCTGCGGTTAATAATGCAATATTTTACTTGTCTCTAATGCCACGTTGTTGTAGGCATCCGAGCGTCTGTGATTAACGATGTAATTAATTATTCGTCAATAATATAATATATTTACGTTGCTGCAGGCATTCGCAGGTCTGAATCAGACCGGCAACCTGGACCAGGAGACCGTAGAGATGATGAACAGACCGCGCTGCGGCAACAGAGACATCATCGGCCACGGCCCCAACACTCGCCGCAGGAAGAGATACGCGCTCCAGGGTGAGCTCATTTCTGTGTCCATCTTTAACATGGCGGTAGTTCACTTTTTTATGTTGGTTTTAAGATTATTTATAGGTCTTTTGTTTGCTTATGTAAATTATTTTTATGAAACATCAACGTCAAATGATTGCTCGAATCGTACATTTAATTAAATGTTAATAGCAAAGAAAACTACAAAACTATTCGCACTTTCATTGAAAAAAATTTAGAGGGCGGCTCTATCAACTTGGAGTTACTAATAAAAAAGGAAATTCCTAGTATTTTCTTTGCTTAAAAATTTTCCTTTACGAGGCTTGAAAATGCGCTTGAATTTTTGAGATTCGATTATAAATTTTTCTCGAGCTCTTTGTTCTCAATAGTATCACAAGACAATTTTTGTGTTGTTTCCTTATTGAAAACTAATTATAAATAATTGTATCGCAAGGAATCTGGTTCACTCATCGCTTGTTTGTTCCCAGGTTCCAGGTGGAGGGTGCGAGACCTGACCTACCAAATCTCCAAGTATCCTACAGGACTCAAGGCGAGCGACGTGGATGAGGAAGTGGCTAACGCTTTCAAGGTTTGTACTGTGAAGCAAGCCTGTTTAAAATCCCTTCTCGTTATTAAAATCGCTAGTCATTTACTAAAGAAAATCAGAAGTATTTTACAACAACGAAAGAATAATTCCCACCAGGCAAACGACGTTGAAACAACGTTTAATCAACGTTGATTCAACCAACAACGTTTATTTTAACGTTCATTCAACGCCGTTTGCCTGGTGGGAAGTAGAGGGACCTAACCACACGGAAGAGTAAGTTCTAAAAGTCTATAAGTAAGAAAGGTGCGCTGGCTTGTAGATTCACAACAATCTACAATTAACGAATATTTTGCCTAACATCCTTCACGTTTTCCACGAATCTGTTGCAATGTTTCTTAGTGTTTCACTGAAATCTGTCATCCTTAGCTTAGAAAGAAAAAATCACCCGTTTTATCCTCATCCAAAGTATAGCAGTCTCAACGATAGACAATTTATTTAAGGAATGCCACTTGACTTTTACTTTGAAATTTATTTACACACACATAACTTTTGCCGATTTGCTTGGAGAAGCAAGCAGGAATACATCGAATAGTTTATAAAATATCGATGGCAACTTTCGTGAAAATCCTTTGTAGTTCAAGTTTAGAGCAGTTGAATTTCATATATCAACATATTGCTGTGTTAGTTTTGAGAGAGGGCAGCATCTAATGTTATATGTTTATCTTGATTGTGCTGCATAATATCAGAGTTACTTGTCCTATCTCTTGCTGAATTAGACGTCGACCATTTAATGTTTCATTAAAAATTGATTTTCCGTGAAATTTTTATTTTTTCGTTCTAGCTATCTTTAGATGGAAATTTATCATCTTTAACAAGAATTTGTTTATTAAAGTTTATTTCAATTGCCGAGTTTCTAATGACTTTCATGGCTATTAACTCCATAGGTTTGGGAGGACGTAAGCAACCTGACGTTCCGACCCACCACCACCGGGAAGGTCCACATTGACATCAGGTTCGAGAAAGGGGAACATGGGGACGGCGACCCCTTCGATGGCCGCGGGGGGACCCTCGCCCATGCATACTTCCCCATCTACGGAGGAGACGCTCACTTTGATGACACTGAGCAGTGGACCATTGATTCGTTCGCTGGTGAGGCTGAGCGTCACGTGTTCTTAGTGTCAAATTTTTTGGTACGAAACTTTTGAGTTTCATGAAACTTTGGGGTTCAATAAACTTTTGAGTTTCAATTAAAATTAAACTTTTTTGAGTTTCATCAAACTTTTTCTGTTCTTGCTTCGCTTTGTTAGAATTCGCTAGAAGTATTTTGCTCGCCTTTTTCTATTTAGGATTTAGCGTTCATCAAAGTAAGCAAAAGACTGAAATCCAACCCCTTAAAGTCATATAAACTGCAATTCTGCTTCTTGCCGTTCCGATCCTAATTTGCAAGTTTAATGTCACCTAGCTCGGCCAACACATAACATCGACCCTATCTCAGAGGCTCAAAACTGTAACTCATTCAGTTCCTTCAGGCACTAACCTGCAACTCTCCCTGTCCTCCCAGGCACTAACCTGCAACTCTCCCTGTCCTCCCAGGCACTAACCTGCAACTCTCCCTGTCCTCCTAGGCACTAACCTGCAACTCTCCCTGTCCTCCTAGGCACTAACCTGCAACTCTCCCTGTCCTCCTAGGCACTAACCTGTTTCAAGTGGCGGCGCACGAGTTCGGGCACTCACTCGGTCTGTCGCACTCGGACGTTCGGTCTGCGCTCATGGCGCCCTTCTACAGAGGTTACGAGAGGAACTTCGAGCTTGACGATGATGACACTCGGGCGATCCAGGTAATTCCTGCACAGAGCTGCCAAGACCATCTAAAAGAATTAGAAATGCATATTACATCAGAAACTTTCTGAAATCCACTTTATAATCATTTAAAATCCTTTGAAGAAAATATTTTGCATGGTGCTTTACATGATGACTATTCAGTTAATGATTGTATAATGACCACCTTCAAGCTCATTGATGAATTTTAAAAATAAAGGTTCATATCGGATAGTATGGTGCTTTTCCATTTCATAATACATCAGTGCATCTCCATTCAGAATCTCTATATTATGGGTAATTAAATTTTATTGAAAGTAATTTGTACGGTAATTGAATTTTATTCATAGTAATTTGTACGGTAATTGAATTTTAGTGAAAGAAATTTGTACAGTAATTGAATTTTATTCAAAGTAATTTGTACGATAATTGAATTTATTCAAAGTAATTTATCGTTCAGGCATTGTACGGCAAGAGAGAAAGTCCATCTCAGTCAACACCAAGCCGCGTGCCCACCGCCGCCACCACCCGACGCCCCAGCACCGGGGCAGGCACCGCTGGGGTGCTCTGCAGCGACGCCTCCGTCGACACCATCGTCACCATGGCCGACAAGAACACCTACGTCTTCAAGGGTACGTTTTTATGATTAAAATCTTACAATCTTAATCTTATTAAGATTAATTAAGATTAAAATCTTTCTATTCGCAGCGAAAAGATTGGCCTAAGCTTTGGGCCAACTCAGTGGCGTGATACAAGAAGAGAAATGCAAGTTATTAGACAGTACGGCACATCTGAACGCATTCAAAATTTTATTTGTTCGTGCAGTATTATTATGAATGGGAAACAGGATTTTACTTTATCATTGTCACGTTTGAAGGTGGACTCGGAACTATCAGAAATGTTAAACTAGAAACTCACAACTGTCTGGCTGACAAGTTAATTCATGTTTCCTAGAAAGTATTTGCGAAATGCTGCTGCCACAGATAGAGAATTCGGATGAAAACGCAAATCGAAAATATTCTGAACCTTCTCGAGGAGCCGCGTGAAATTCTTAGAACTTGCGTTGTACTTACTAAATTTATAGTTAAACTGTATAAATTGCGTATGAGATTTCTCACGAAGTTTTTTATTATTTGGGTGGATTCAAGTTGTATTTGAATGTGTTTGAAGAAAGAGAGGGTAATGTGTGTTGATAATTTCATTTTATCGAGCCGTTATTGTGACTTAAGATCGAAATGAAAACTGGAAGGACTACAAGAGTTCTACTCGCGAAATAAATAACTGCACGAAAGTGATGATGACTTGTTCTCTAGGCTCACAGTACTGGCTGCTGACGGATTCATCCACCGCCCCTGGCTATCCTAGATCCACCACTGCAGATTGGGGTGGTTTGCCTGGGAACCTTGACGCTGCCTTCACCTGGTCCAACGGCAAGACCTACTTCCTGAAGGTACCAGCTATTCCACGTCATTGAACTTCTATATTTCTCTCAGTGATTAATTACCGACGTTCTGATTTAAGACATTACCATTTTCAACCGGTACTTGAGTTAGCTTAGTATAAATAATTAATCAGAGGTTAAATTATAAATTTGGTAACATGGAAACGAAACTTCGTGAAAGCCTCTCATCAAAACACGTTTTATTGTGATAAAAATTGTCTATTATTGATTTCAAAAACGACTTCAGAAACTTGTAAAATGTCCTTTCCTAATTTTCCGACATAAACATGTCAGAACATAATCTACCGAAATCAGACGAAGAAGAATCACGTTATTTGCACGGTATTCCCCCTCAGGGCTCGGAGTATTGGCGGTTCAGCAACATGACCATGGACCCCGGCTACCCCAAGCCAATCTCGAAGGGCTTCGCTGGGATCCCAGATAACGTAGACTCCGCTTTTGTCTGGTCAGGGAACGGAAAAATTTACTTCTTCAAGGTGAGCGACAAGTATTTTTTAACATAACTAAATTTAGATTTGTTTTAGTTAATTTCATGTATCCGTGTGACCTAGAAAAATGTAGCTATATTAGTTTTTATGTGTTGGCTTCTCTACTCATTACATTGATTGTACTCCTGGCATTAATTTTGAATGCGTACAGTTGAAGAAGTATTAAAATATTTCTCATATTCTGAAATTTAAATATCCTTCATCAAAATTTACTTCTTAAGTTCGATGTATAAGGCTTCAATATTATAGGGAAGCGATTTCGGTTCGTGGAGTCTTTTAGTATAAATGTTAATATTTTAATAACATTTGGACATTTTTGCCTCTCAGAACGACAAGTACTGGCGATTCGAGCCCACGGCGCGTCCCCCGGTGGGGGCCAAGTACCCCAAAGACGTGAGCAACTGGGAGGGCATCCCCAACAACATCGACGCTGCCCTACAGTACAGCAACGGCTTCACTTACTTCTTCAAGGTGAAGCAGACATAGTATTTTATTCTCTTTATTGCGAACCATTTATTCTGTTTATTGCGAACCATTTATTCTGTTTATTGCGAACTATTTTATTGCGAACCATTCATACCATTTATGTATATTTTTAACAATTACAGTGAATGATTAAATGAATTACAGGAGATATAGATGGCTGGTGGGGTTGTTTAATGGTATGAAAGTTTATTTGCATGTCAAATGAGTTATCCTAGAATTAATTACTTTGGCGTTATAATAAAATCATAGTATATGGTGCCATGTGGTATATTTCTGGAACACACAAATCATCGTATATATTAAAATTTGCAATAAATACAAATGATTTATTTTTACAATAACTTTTTTTCCTTGTCATTAACATAATTATAAGAGTTTTTTTTTAGGATGGCATGTACTGGAGGTTCAACGACCGCACCTTCCGTATCGACACCGCCGACCCTCCCTTCCCTCGGCCCGCCGGCTACTGGTGGTTCGGCTGCGAGACATCGGGTTCTCAGGTACGTTGAACCGTCTTGTGGTGGTTCGGCTGCGAGACATCTGGTTCTCAGGTGAGTGGAACCCTCTTGTGGTGGTTAAGTTTTTCGCTCCACTTACATGCATAATGATTCGCGATGGTTCGTACCATACAATGATCGGTCCTTCACCAGGTTGTATTCGTTTATGAACTGATAGCTTTGATGATTTTAATTCGTCTCACGTCCTCAATGCTTTCTAGCTTCCTAAACCTTCCATTTAAATTTGCCACCGGGTAACGTAAAGATCGTTAATCTCAACCGTGCTGCAAAAATATTTTATTAGTAGTTCTTTAACTTGTTAGATCTCTATATCAATAATTATCCATGTGTTTTTCAGTTTGTTTCATTGCGTCGCAGGTCTTCTGTTTTGTAAATTTTTATGTTGAATTAACCATTTTAGTTATATTTTAAATTTCTTCTTGACTTATCCAGATTTGTCTTGCATTTGTGTGACTTGATGTGACTTGAGGCAATGCATGCTTTGTAACTATCTTAATCAGTTTCATGATAACCTCTTATAATATTGGCATTTCTTGTTTGTTTTACAGACTCTTCTGTCCAACCGGAGAACAGATGAGATTTCTCCATCCGACTACGACGTCCGCGAAGACAATTTCGACGCCGGTGAGTCTCAAAAATCTCCTCTTGTTTTACTTCCACTTACAATTTTCTAATGGCATGAATGCCAATTAGAGTACACAAGTAGATTAATACATATATTCTGTGACTATTTTGTTCGCATACTGATTATGTCCTTTGTAGCATTTTTTTAACTAACATACTATAAATTGGTCCCTGTTACTGCCTTCTTTATGGTGAATTAACATATAATTTAATGATTTGTATTGATTAGCATGATCTTCGGCGATTGAATATTACCCTCATTTGTAACTGTCGTTCAAGTTGACCCTTCCTTGCTTCTCAATATTTTATTTTATGCTGCTTACATTCAGTAAATTTGATTCATGCAACCTAAGGTAATTTGTTAAATTTAATACTGAACTAGTTTTTCGCTTATAAATTAGTGTTTGCCTTTAGCCTGCCATTGTTATGTTTGAAATTATCATGTGAACGGACGAATTTCGTGAGCTGTTGAATTCAATTCATGTGAAGTTTCCTTCGATATTTTATTATTCAGTGTTTACAAATTTCTTTCCGAAAAATTGTGTTTGTATTAATTTTTCATAAATAATCGTCTGTCTCCTAATTAAATTTTGATCGAGTTCTCGAAACTCGGACGCTATGTCGAATTTCTAACTTAATTATTTTATCAACTAACTGCTGTTTCAATATCGTATTTTTAATAATTTTCAAAACTTTCGAATAAATGAACTCTCACAAATCGTCTCGAATGGTGTAAATTTTAATTACTGCTTCCTTCCTCTTCACTAACAAACTTTCTCCTTTCTTCCTTTCTACAAAGAGCTCACTGAGGAAAGCGGTTCGTAAGCTATTGCAACTTTCTTTTTGATTCGAATATGCAACCGTCTTTTTTTGACAATATATGCATTCAATGCGAATGGAGTTCAGAATAAATTAGAAATACTCCGCGATTAATTCAAGATTATTTAGCAATAGTTCCTAGGGCTTTCTAAATGCAGTGTTTTGATGTTCTGTTACGACTCAAACCGTGATTATTGTCTTGAAAATTTCCAAATTTGACTGAATATTTTGAGTACGACTTATATCCAAGCAGTTGTTCGCTCCTTACGTTTGTTACTATGCAAAAGGAATTGTGATGCATGCCGTTCATACGTCAAAAATATATTACTTTCATACCCAAACTGAGCCTCAACTGTCATCATGGTCAGCAGTTTATTTGAATAATTTAGAGATTGTTTACATGTATAAAATCCGATCTGCACATTCAATACATGCGACGTATTCTAACATAAATAATTTATTTTTGCGCTATCGCTTATTGTTAATTTTCGGCAATAAATATGCGTTGTATTGATATCATTCTCCGGCACTGAATTAAAGTCCAGAATTTATTGTTTATAACCGCCGAACCATGACGCAACGATGATATTTTCCCGTTGAATTATTTGGATCTTGCGTGTCTTGTCGCTATAGTAGCAAATTTGTGCACAAGTTTCTCACCACGCTTAGTGATCGATTATTCTTTTCCTTACAATGATTTCAAATGAAATCGCGTATTTATTTTAAATGAATTGGATAGCATTAAGAAATACAATTCTCTTTAAATGAATGTAATGAATTCATTTTATCCGAGCAGCACATTCAATTCATGTGACGTGCTCTAAGATAAAAAATGTTTCCATCGCGACATCGCTTATTGTTAAATTTCTGCAAAAAATATACGCTGTACTGATATTATTTATAAGTTCGGTGGTCACTCAGTCGGAATTCAGTCAATATTATTTGATCGGCGTCATTGTGGCGTTTTTTACATTGTCCGAATAGTGTTTGTTTGAATGCGTGATTCGGCACTGAATTAAAGTTCAGAATTTCTTTTTATCACCGCTGAACCATGTCGCAATGATGGTATTTTCTCGGTGAATTATTTCGATCTTGCGTGTCCTTACAATGATTTCAAATGAAATCGCCAATAAATTTTAAATAAATTGGATAACATCAAGAACGTCAAGAAATTTGATTAATTTGAAATGAATGACAATTTGGAACAGACAATATATAAAATTTTCTTGTATAGATGTTTATAAATAACATTCAATATTTGTTTGGAAAAATTAATACTTAAATCATCATAATATAATATTAATAAATAATCAATACAGTTCAATATTTATTAAAAATTATGGATAAATAATATTTATCCTAATTTACAATATTATTATGTTAATAATTTTTATGGCATTAAAATAATAATATTTATCCAAAAAAATTGAAGAATCGAAATAACATTTCGTCTCATTAAATTCATTAATTTAATTATTTATCTCAAATTGATCGCTTCATTTAAGTTATCAAATAATCAACTCGAAGTGTTGTATACATGGAACTATTTGCACGTTTAGGCACTATTATTTCCTTACAAGCTCTGACAGACAACAGATGAGTTCAGAATTTTTAAGGAAGTGTTATTGTATCTTTTGCATATTTTTCTTCATTCTCCATTTGAGTGCGAAATTGTGTTCAATTTTTTTCCCTAATCAAATCACATCGTCAAATTGGGTTAACACATTTTCACACACAACTGTTTCGGAACAATGTTCTGAATTTAAATTATGTATTAGTCCTTACACCGAGCGTTGATTACTCTCGACCGGCGTGTGTGATCGCAGTAGGCATTTTCCATCAGTTTTGCGATTATATGACAAAATAAAGCGTTTCTGCGAAATTGTTGATGGAAGAGACACATTGTGCACATATTCCGTAGCATTGATGTAACTAACATTGTAAATAACTGAGGCTCTGCATGTTTATCTGTAGAGTTGCCCGCAATTCATTTGTGTTCTGTACATTGCCTGTTGTAGTTGGTCCACCAAGCGTTAATCGCTCTGTAAATAATTGCATGTCATAGAAGGTGGCATACAATTCTGTCTCTAGAAGAATTTTTTAGTTTATGACTGAAATAAATGAAGTGAATTTGTAGATATAATTTTGAATTCAATCATTCGCTGAGGCATTTTAATCATGATCTCAAATACAATCTTGGTATTATTAAGAAATAATTTCTCATAAAATATCGTAAATTTATTCTGTTACACATGAATAAAAACATATGAGTACGTAGTTATTTTAAAGCTTAGATTCTTCGTGTGAAATATTTCATAAACGGGAACATCGGAACCGTTCACTCAATTATTGAATGTTAATCAATTATCCTTGGTTATTCATAATGTTCGAGCCTTTGACCAACTTACGAATAATTTGACCTCTTTACTAATCAATCAAATAATTTAATGAGGAATGATATATTTCTCATTGCATGTCTCCTTCTTTTACTGGGCACAAAGGTTTATGGTCTTCACTGCTACGCTTTCTACGGAGATCCGGATGAGAATAACGTCAAACGTGGCCAGGGTTTCTGATGTCAGTCATTCTTCTCCTTATTCATAGACATTACGTCTTTATTGTCATTTAACCCGTAACCAAATAATTAATTAATCTGATGACCTTCAAATTACTATACCTAGAGAGCAATGTATTAATAATATGGAGGCATATCATTAATACATATTATTAGAAACTTCCATTGGGCGAGTGCGAGCTGTGGGGGAAACGTATTCGTATAGATTGTAATGGGGATCAATTCGGAAGCCGAAAGAATAGAAATTTTCGCATCAATTGTTACGGTTAGTTTGCTGCTTCGTTTCATGAATTTATTTTGTGTTTATTTACAAGTTTTTTAAGCTTCATGTTTGTTTTGCTGCTACCATTAGCTCTATTTATTTGCTACCAAAACTGTTAACGGAACAATTGTATCAGCTATTTCAGCTATTTGCATTTACTGGCAGCTGCACTGGCTTATGCGTCCTGTCTTAACCATTTACTGGCAGCTGCACTGGCTTATGCGTCCTGTCATGCCATTTACTGGCAGCTGTACTGACTTATGCGTCCTGTCTCTGTCTCTTATACACATCTCAGGCATTGTACGGCAAGAGAGAAAGTCCANCGTCCTGTCTTAACCATTTACTGGCAGCTGCACTGGCTTATGCGTCCTGTCTTGCCATTTCTTAAGTTCAATTGACCAAAAATTCGTCTCCGTACTCTGAAATAAAACTTGCGTCAATGATACAAGAAATTTTGAATGCTTTTGTATGATTTATTTTGTTCTTTGGCTGTATATCGTAAAATTGTTGAGAAGTTTAATTCGTTAATGTATTTTGTAATGTAGCTTTTCTAGAGTAATGATCCGATAAGATTCTCACCAAAGATCTTTATTATTTGTTATTAATATTTTAAAATTATTATGATTTTTATATACTGGAGAACAATTCTCTTGGGTAACGAAAAGACGCGTTTGATTTTGGATGAATCAATAAGTTATTCTATTTTTTACTGAGCCTGTCTCGTAATTTTTAAAGCTCGTGTTGGGATATTGTATTTATTTTGGCAGACTTGAATTTTATAGACTTTTAATCGGCATCCACGATTCTTATTTCTGTTTCGTTGACTTTTCAGCCGCTGCCTCAGATTCTCTATTCTCCGGCTTCTCAATATTCACGTGAAGGACGACCAATCTATGCCGTCGTTGAAAAAATGCCAACCTGTTTAGACTCTCAATAGGAAGAATTTAAAAAAATTTATGTTTTAAATTGTGTAGGTACCATCTATATTTAAAAAGAAATTTTCAACGCTTTTTGTGTCAATGAATGCTCTATAATTTATTGGTTTGAATAATATAATTCAATCATTAGATTAAATTATATTAATATATTAAATTATATTTTGTATCGGTAACATAAGCATTGTATTAGATCAAAAATTTCAGAGCTCTTGATCGATGGCGAAGTTTTTGTTTTAATAGTTTTAAGGCTAAATTAGTGGCTTATAATGGAAATTTACCCGGTTATATATAGATGATGGATCCCCTGTTTTCCAGGCGAACTCGAGAGATCTTAATCACTCTTGAGTTACCGTTAACCCTTCCGTGACTGACCACCAGGTACGAATAGCATTGACGACGGTAAATGAATAATAGACTAATGGATAACTAAACCAAAGAGCTAACTATTGTCAGTCAAAAGAAACAAGAATATCAATCCGCATGTTCCTATTTCTTCATATATGTTATTATTTATATTTTATAAAACATCCATCGACACAAAATTTAAGATTAGTTCTTTTGAGACAATATTTAATCAAGTGCAATACAATTCAATAAGGACCGATCGAAAAAGATTTTGAATTGAAATATTTTATTACTGTTACATAGGAAAAATATGTTCACGTACGACTACTTCGTTTCATTAGATAATGAGCAAAATTCGGTGCTGTTGCGTGAAATGCGAATTTATAAATATTTATTCATATTGGTCGTTTGTATACATTGATACGTGTTCACAGTACACGAATTCAGAAATTATTCATTTCGACAGGTTCATGAAACTAATTCAGCTTTAGTACGCTCTAGTTATTTGCATTATATTTTCTGCATTCCTGTATGGCATTGTGTGATGCAGATTCTTAAGACATAATGCAAAATTATTTCTATTTTGTATTGTTAATTAAGCATGCACAATTATTTCATTTGAATGTTCGTCATATAGCGCAAATTGTTTGAATTTAAGCTAAATTATTGGGCATGAGTTGTTGCATAAATTCACAAATAATGATCATTTTGACGATGTTCTCGCCTTATTTTTTGTAATAAAAGTTTACAAACAAATTTGTTTTTTTACCCTAAGTAAATATAGTAAGCGCTTTGAAACGTATCATGTTCAGGTATATTGCAACTCGAGCGACATTGCACCATTTGTGTTCAGTTAATTAGGAGCTGCAGAAGCGAGCAGATGTGCAAGAGCGTTTCTGGTTTTAGTTGAATGAAGGTTTTAATGAAAAATTCATCATTCGAATATGTCAAATCTTTCATTAATATTAACGAAAATCACAGGTACATTGACTACTTTTTACTTCAAAATTTTTTATTTTTTCTAATGGTAAACTGTGGTTGCTTATGGTGGGTGCTTCACTAACACTGGCTTTGATACTGCTTATCATAAAAAATTGATTGTGCTGATTTAAATCAGTGATTTTTATGCTAAGTAGTTAATTGATAACAAAAATCATTCTAAACTATAACTCATTGCCTTCACACAAGTTTATAATCGACCTGAATTGATACCAGACAGTAGTTTAATAAAATTGGAAACGATGTAATTTTATTTGATCTTAAAGCGCAAAAAAGCGATTGTGATTGAACATTACAATGAATGAACAGCTATTGTGATTACATTACATTCTGGGTATCCTCGCTGTTGTCTGTCCGGTTATTCAAACGTTTAAGTGACACGTTCATTTATATTCACTGCTCATGAAGGATTCCCTTCGTTCTACATCGACATTTGATTAAAATTTCGAGCAAGTTTTTCAGAATTTTAGTTTTTAGTTTAAATAAATTTGAAGTAAAATTTGATTTTTCGTACTTAATTCAAAAGGCACTTAGGACTAGAAATTTGAAATAATTTCCATGATGATCAATTTCATTAGTCAAGAGGTGAAAAACGAAAATTCACCACCCGAGCAAGCCTGCAACTTCATTGAATATTTTTGTTCTGTACTCAGACGGCGCTGCGTCGAACCCTCGCCTGCAGAACTGGTTGGCAGTCGGCAACCCTCATGCGCGAGACGAACTCCACCAGCAGGCGCAGCAGCAGGCGAGTGTGGCTGAGAACTCTGCCGCCACGGCCTTCACATCCATCATCACAATTATACTGCCTATTTTCCTGCGAAGACTGATTTAGAAGTTTTCCTGCTAATTTATATTGTTCGGAATCATGGGTTGGAAACATTTTATTTCAAGGTTGAAAACTACTTTGCAATAATGAACCACATTTTTGTTGTAAACAAATCTTCCTGTCCAGAACTGGAATCCGGTTCTGTAGTAATTACACGTCATGTCAGAGATGAAATTTGTTTTTCATATCAGGTCTAAAAATGCTATGGTTGAACTTTGAGCCTCAGTTTTGTGTCGCAATTTATGACAATGATGTTTCAAGTGTGAATAAAAGGTTTTGTTTTGTTCTTAAGCGCACCTCATGAAATGCAATTATAATTTATTTAAATGAAAACGTTTGAATATGCTAATTTCAAGTATGAAACCACAATTTCGTGCTCGAACGTATCCGTTCAGTTATCTTGATTTCACTCGTGACTTTGTCTTATCGTAGGAAATTGTATGCGTTTTGTATAGCTGGAAGAGAGTGACACATAGGGACATGTTTTCTTGTGATACTTGAGACTGCCCATCATTATTGATCAGAGCCCATCCATTATTCGTAAAGCTTCGCATTGTTTCCCTCACACAAAATATAGTAAATTTTATGACCTCATCTAGAAGTGATAGTTGCGCTATTTTCTTTGATCATAACATGTGTGCCGAAGCAAAAGTTTGTGACGTAGTCCTTTCATCATCCTTTTTTCCGTAGATTGATCATTTACTTCATACAATATAACCTCATATTGTCTCCAAGATTAGGAAACTTTTTTTACGTATTTTCTGTTGTTGGAGACAACTTATTTGTTGACCTTAGAACTTAAGCCAGCTACGATCTCTCAGTATGTCCATTGATAGCATGCTACACTTTGATTAGACGCTCAACCGAATTAAAATGTATTCAATAGTTTCGTCAGGAGAAACTTCTGCGAAGGATTTACGATATTTATTAATGCTAAAACTAAGTAACTAAGTATTTTAGCGCGATGGTCACTGATTATTGCATGTGTCGTGCCGAAATCGCGGAATTGACGATTCTATGGAAATGGCAGCCAGTTTGCCGAATTTGTAGAAGCAGCATTTCGTTGCTCATTCAGAAAATCGGATGTTAGAGTTTGAACATAAATCGACAGTTAGAGTTAGAAAAGGTTAGGTCAAGTTCTGTCATATTACTTTATATATATTAAAAACACATGACTGACTGACCTAACCCCAGATTCCTATAGTATATTGTAGAAATGCTGATTTACAGATTCGGCAAACTGGCTGCCAATTTTATAAAATCGGCAATTCCGCGATTTCGGTACGACACATGCTTTGATACTACCACGGAGATTCGTTCAGTAACTTAGAAATGAGACGAATTTTACTGCCAAGTGAAACGCAGAAAGCTATTTAAGAAACCTTGCATGAACGTGTTTTTCTATGAGCCTCATATCTCAACCTCGTATTCACGGAATTATCTCTGAAAAACATTGTCATTTATGATAACCCTGACACAGAAGCCATGCAAATCATAGTTATAATTTACCTTAATAGTATTTAAGCTATGACTCTAATGTTATGATGAATGACTGTATTACTGTGCATGAGTATTTACCCTCGGCACCCCTGCTCATTCTTTGGGAACCAGTGGGCATTATGACGAGAAACTTATTTGTATAAATTTTGCCATACCATTATTTCCTCGTGGTATTATCGACCGTTTGATGTAATTCATATTTAATACGAGTTGTTTCACATTCTTAATGTGCATCGTTTTCTTGAAACTTTTCCTATAGATGTAAATAAATGCAGACATTGTTTCTTGCCTTGAATATCGACTAGAAAATATTCACCTGATAAAAATACTCCATTTCGATATTTAATCTTTGGAATGCCATCTCACTCCATCATTCTCTATGTCAATGATATGTGTCTAAATGATTATATTGTAATGGAATATTCAGTAACGTTTGCAATCCGTTTAGGATCGAGTTCCTCCGTCTCCAAGTTGTAAGAATTGCAATTGCTGAGACCAGAAACAGTATACGTGATTCACCGGATGTTTTCACTTGCATTCGAATTGGAGGATTCTTTTTTTTTTGTTTTCTACATTTTGTTTTCTACAATGTTAATGTGACTATAGATGGAAAAAAATTAAGCACAAATGGTTTACTTTTAAGCGTCTCAAGCGTAACTGCCTGTTTGTTCAAGTCAGTATTATACCTATTTATGAGACAGGTACTCCTGTATAAACATTGTACATAGTACAAAATATGGAGCCAATACATGATAAGGTCTAATCAAAATAAAATCCTTGTGTCATAATATTTCATTTCATTTTGCTACAAACAAAATCCCTAATATACAGTTCGCAATATAGTTATATATTATCCCGGTATTTCTAATAGTTTTTAATCGATAATGATATGTACCAATAAGTGAGCGAAATGATTTTAAAGGGGACAACATAATTTTTGTTCAGATTGAACTACAACTTCAAATGGTACCTAAAACTTATTACAAGGAAGGTGAATTGAAAATGTGAGAGCTTACAATCTTATTTAACTTGGAGTTGTGCAAACAAGTTACGGCAAGAGACATTGTTATTAAATGAGCTCACACTTCGTTCTGACATATGAGAATACGACGGACAAAATCCATCTTTTGAGGATAGCAATAAACGTTCCTTTCACAATCACAGTGTTGAAATTATACCGTTCTCCAATTCAGTAACTTTCAACTAAAGATTTTGCAGACCGATTCGAAAATTAAATCACAAATATTGACCAAGGCTGTCGGAACGTTCATTAGTTTGCTTTCTCTTCCCCAAAAGGGGTTTGAGCTTTATTTTGTTACCCTGCTTGACGCCGTCAGGTTTCTTGCAGTGCGGCTTGTGCCTTAGTCCTTGTTGGCTGACACGAGGAGCAGCAGCAGAAGGTTGCGGTAACTTACCGTCCCCGCTGTTGGGTCCGGCCGAGAAGTTCGCAGTTCCGTAGTCTTTCTCGGATGCCGAGCTTCCCCTGAGCTCTCCGTAGCATTCGTCCGTAGTCTGCAAAACACAACGAATTGTGATGAACATTATGAGAAATTAAACGAGAAATGGATGGTATAGCAATCTCGTTAAGACACTCTGTCACGACATTCATCCGCTGAGGGCTGAATATTAGCATTATGTTCGACAGTACTTGTACATACTTGGAAATTCGAAATTGGTTACAAAATCGTTAAGAAATTAAAGCTAATAATTTTCATCTTGAATAACTCACGATGGAGCCATCGACGTTATTGAGCGAAGGAGCGGCATATACCAAAGACGCATAGCTCTCCTGCTCCGACTCCTCAGCCACGCTCACGAAGTTTTGCCTCTTGAGCGTTTGTGGCATTCCGCCTCCGCTATACGAAGAAGGCATCACACCTCTAGCAGATCCGATATCATGATCTGCTGGTAGATTATTTACACTGTTACGAGGATCACTTAGATGATCCCTGTGGTCATATCGGCCAACCTGACCCCGTCGGTCAAAGCCATCGTTGTGTTTAAACGAATCTGATCTGCGTTCACCACGCATCAGGCGATCGGGATCTCTTCTTGGATCCCCACCAGTGCCATTATCCATGTCACGGAAGAAGGAGGAGTGAAGTAGAGGATTATCGATGTTCGAGGACATGGCTTGGTAAGTGACATGTTTGTCAGGGAACGACGGCACTGCGGTGGGTCCCTGAGCAGCCCTCAGGGGTTCAGTCTTGTGCAGTGTCGCGTAGTGGTAGATCTTGGGCGTCTTCTCGTCCAGCTGGCCTGGAACGCAGCAAGGTTAGTTGATTCGTTCCATGCACTGAATATTTCATAAGTTACATTGTTTTCGATTCCGCCTGTAATTTTTCCAACTACATGTTGCCCGACTACAAATCTTTTTTGTATCTTTTTATCTGACTTATATGTTACATTTACCTACGTCGATTTTTTGGGCTATGAAAATGCAGAAAATATTAAATATTTAACCCTCATTTTTGAGATTATGTTTCAAAATATTTTTTAATTGATCCATTGGCACCATTGCCTACTTTTAAAACTCATGTTTAATTTGATTACCTATAGGTAATCAAATTAACGCGATTACTATTATAATCTCAACGTCATTACTATTATAATAATAATCGCGTTGCGTTCACAAAATATTTATGCTAAACTATACTTTATTTTATGCTTCGAATATCGTTCTAATGTCTCAATTGCTCTCCTATCGGCTGCAAAAGATTCAGTTCACGTTGCCTCTTTAATGATGGCGATACATATCGGTTTCTGAAATATCGCTGGTCACGAACATTACCAAGCGGCTCTGAACCCGGTACGTATTGGAAGGCCTATCCATTTCTCCAAACTCGCAGGCCGCTTATCTTTGGTATTCTATAGAAGATTCTTACCACATGCCGCACACTAAGTTATATAAATAAATTCCAATAAAATATTGCTTGATTGGCCTAACGAGGCAGTTACAGGACACGCACCAGGACCAAAGCGATGCACGTTGTAGTCTTGGAACGCGGCAGGATACGCGGCGTGATCTGCGGGACTTTTCTTGAACGTCGATTCCTTCACAGAGCCTTCGTCGTTGCTTGATGAATGAACGCGTTCTGAAAATTTGAATACATGTTTGATCTATTATTTTATTAAACATGGAATATCAGTTGGATTAAAACCATTACTTAAAAAATATTTGATTTGATTTACGTTAATCATGTTGACAATTAATTAGCAAATTGACCTGTTTAATAGCAGAAATACCTGAAGCGATTACTAAATGATGCCGAATGTTCAAACTAACACATTTTATCAGACAAAATAAACATCAATATGCACTAAATTTTTTCCTAAATAAACAAAACTATCTTCATTGAATTGCGATAAACTGACTGCGATAGGAACAAGCGATGACGGCCGCGATAATCATGAGTACGGCCGTTACGCTGACCGTGACGGGCACGGCCAGGCGAGGATCCGTCCACGACGTCCCCTCGACGTCGCCGTAACGGCTGCCTAGCGTCGGTAACGCACCTGTGAAGTGCAACCGTGATTTGAATAATTGTATGTTACCTGCTGCATATAGCTTAGCATTATTGAAAAGAGACGTAAGCACCATTAAGGGACGTAAAGCTTTCCAAAGCATAAAATATGGAGCGGCCAGGAATTATAGTGATTATAATCTCATAAAAGATTGATTCTGCACAAAAATAAATCAATGTAAGTGGAAAATATGAGTCGAAATGGGCAATTTGAAACCAATGAGCACCTCATCGGCCTGCACTAAAAGCAAGCTCGCGTTCTGTGACACGTTCACGTGTGGCGGTATCCTTTCCCCTACGATAGCCAGTTAGATTAGTTGTAAAAAAATAATATAGCGATTGAAGGTGAGCCATGTAGGCCTGTCGCCGATTCCTGACTTCGCATAAGTTTCAGAGCTAGCTGCGGGTTTGGAACCAGCTACTCATTTCTCCATCTTGTTATTCCTATTCACTACGCCACCTTGCCAATTTGACCAGAAATTTTGCAACCAACAGCGGATTTCAAATCTGCAACTCGTTGCTCCAATTTTGGTGGAATTTTTGAATAGGTAAACTAATAGAAATAAATATTTTTTCTCCAACAACATTCGTCTATAAGAATTATATTCCAGCCATCACCCAGTCCTGCAACTCACTGGCCTCAGTTGCCCCATGCACGTCATAGTGGGCGGTTGTGTCGCCAGCAGGGCTGTGCGCTGTCACCTGCAGTTGGTAAGAGGCTCCAGGCTCTGGCGCGAGCACCGTGTAAGTGCGCACTGGGGTCATCGATTGAGTTACTGGAAAAAATTATAATATTTTGTTAAAAAATTTATAAAGCATTTACACGATAAATGCTCATTGAAAACGAATGAAACAGTTAGTAATAAATCAATTATTATGCATTAACATAATCTCGTTTAACTTATACACTCGTACGGATTTTGCCAGAATGTTGAAATAAGCACGGCAGGGTGGCCGCCAAAAAATTCATTATGGTTATTCAGTTATTTATTTACAGAGTTTATTTTTGTTAATGTGGCATCAGGCAAATTAACTTTTAACGGTTCGTACGAAATCCATACCAACATTCTACCTAGTAAGACCAAACGGAATAATTGAAAAAATAACAACGAATGCCAATCATACTGATGGTATATTAAAATAAATTTAAATAATATAAAACTGCTCATTATTGGACATTTTGTATATTATTCAACTCAAAATTATTGGGTGAGCATTTCCTTTCAAGGCTTCTATATTTATTTCATTGTTATGACATATCTGCCAAATAAAAACACCCCCTGAATAAATATTTTCATCCGTTAATTTAAATCATGTATGTTTACCATTTATAAAATTATCGTATCTCATTTGAAAACATATTTTAATCACATACATCGAACGTCTAAGCCATTGTTATCCAATTTAAATACCAGCGTGCCATCCTTGACTGGCGCTGCGTCTGTAGGCGACCGAGAAGCCGGTGATGTCGCAGCCACCCGCCTGCCACTGAGCGAGGTACAGCGTCGCGTGGGTGCTGTTGCTCGTCACGAACTGGAACGCTGACGGGGCTTTGGGCGCCACGCCTTTAGAACGAGTCGTCACATTTGCGGAGGGCTCGCTTGTGCCTGTAATGTATGATTACTAACTCCTTTAAAACATATAAAAGAAACTCTAACCAATTGCTGAACGAACAATTAGTTAATGATGAATGTATACTGAGGGTTATGGCGACAGGTTGAGTCTTTGAATTGTCAATATTAAGAACGATATTGGTCCTGATTAAATGTTGTTGAATTCTGATTGGGGGTTATAAATGTTCATACGCTGTATTGGTAGTGTCAAATTAATCTAACTTCCATGTTTGCGATTCTTCGGTGCAAATAAATTCAACAGGAGATCATACACTCGCATATTTAAGCATGGAGTTGTTTGTAAATTAAACAAAAAATAAATACTGTAATATCAGGTGTTTTGTTTATTTTAATTTTAACTAAACTAACTTTAATTTTAACTAACTGCATACTGAACGCTTACTAGAATTCGATTGACCAATTGGGATGTATAGTTTGGGTTTGTAAATCCATCCTCATCACAAGATGTTGTTTATGCCTTCTATAACAATAAATCTATGCATGAATTGCTCACATAGCATAAGAATTAATACAATATTATTGCATTCAATGAATAAGACACTACATATTGCTTACCGATCTCATTTGTTGCTGTGATGGAGAACGTATACTCTGTCCCACACGCCAGTCCGTCCACGACGTGATTCCAGCCCCGCACTTCTTCCGAGACTGACTTGCCTGCTGAGCTGCGTGAGAATTTATAGTCTCACAGCGATGCAACATGAGGGATCAAATGAAATAAAATAATAAGTAAAGAAATACATCATATAATAGTGAGAAGCATATAACTAGAAATCAGGAAAAAAAGTTATATCGATAATAGTGTGCACATTTATAATTATTTACTAGCTTTTCAGTTCATTAATTGCGATTTCAATAGTAGTACTGTAGCGTTCTCGGCATTTATAAAGTTCATATATGAGACAACAAATTTACATGTAACTGAGGGTAGCATAAAGCACAGGAACCGCAGGGTCGGTCTCAGTCGACCACTGAAGTCGCACGGAGGAGTGCGTGCTCTCGGTCACGTGAAGTGTTGGAGTTGAGGGAGGAACTGAAAAAATTTATGATAAAAAACAATCTTGTAAAAGCAAATTGATGTGAATTTCAAGTATTGCAAAATTATTAGAAGCTACAAAAATTATAGAATTATTCGAAATTTCTGTTTAAAAAGCATATCCGGTGAGCGATTTACATAAAAACGATCAAGCAGCGATAACTAAACACGACATGTAAATTTTTAATCAGTGACTAATGGGAACAGAATGAGCACACTGGTTGCAGGAACAACCTAATTATTTTACTCTAGATTAATAAATTGAATAGCTGATAGTAGATATAAATTAAGTGGAAATATATTTTAAATATATATTTCACCTGTTCATTGAAAAAATTATCGCATAAAGTAGACAAACTTTAAAGTGTATATACTTATAAGGATGATGACGTACCGAGCACAGCGAGGACGTAAGAGACGTTGTCAGAGCCCTGCGTGTTGGTGACTGTGCAGGAGTACAGGCCGCTGTGCTGCTGCTCTGAACTCTTGATGTGCACTGAGTTGTTGCGGGACACCCACATGTTGCTGGAGCCGACATAACAAGAAAGTAACGTGAATGTCTCATGGTGATATTCGCATGAATGTGAGAGTAACTTGATATTTATTTATGCATGTGGTGAATAAATAAATGCGACACGGAGTGTCACGATGCAATGCATATATACTTTCAATAAATCTCCATAAAGAATACACCCAATAAATGCTAGATGTTTTTGTTTTTCTCCAGAATAAACTATTTACAAGATGGAAAGTTTCACATTTTCCTTTAAACGTTTTTGAACTCGATGTTATTTACGTGTATTATGGCAATTTTCCAAGAAACTATTTCTGAATTTCGGTACACTATGGTTAGTTTTTTATCTAATATCTTCAAGGTTGCCATTAACTCACCTAGTTTCTTGAATGGGGGAGCCTTGCACGGTCCATTGAGCATGGGGGGCAGGATCCCCCACCGCGGCGCACGGCAGCTCCACTGGAGTCTTCCAGGCGACGCTTACCCGACCCCCCACCGACCACACGCCTGCCCTCACTATGGAGGGCAAGTGAGGGAAGAGTTATGAAAGTAAAGCGAGGGAAGTAAAGTGAGGGAAGTAAAGTGAGGGAAGTAAAGTTAGGGAAGAGTTATGAAAGCAAAGTGAGGGAAGTAAAGTGAGGGAAAAGTTATGAAAGTAAAGTGAGGGAAGTAAAGTGAGGGAAGTAAACTTTCATAGGGTAAACTTTACTTTAATAAGTAAGTTTACTTTCAGCACACTTTACTTTATTAAGTAAAGTGAGGGAAGAGTTACTTATTTTTACTTAATTGTAAGTCTAATCAATCGCTCTGGGATAGCATTAAGCACTAAAACGATATGCTTCAGAATGATGAATTTGTAACATGGAGGATTTGAATGCATAAAATTCAATTAAATAATTATAATTATTTGTCATTTGTGAATTGACAAATAATTCATTCTGATCAAAGTTGTAGACAATAACAGGACTAACACGGACTTCATAAGTGGAGAAGCGGATCAAAGAGTAATACCTATAACTCGTAAAATAAAATATTATTATTACTAATGAAAGGGGAAAAATTATAGATGAAGGAAAACAATTGTCAGCAAACAAAACAGTCGAGTTAGACATGTACATGTTAATCAATATTGCATATAAAATCAATTACACAAAGAGTAACATCCCCTAATGTTCAATGTCTCGGCTAAGGAGAAGTAATTCTTGAGCTCCACCATCTTCCACTATCGGTGGCACTATTAGTCACATCTATGTCCATATCAACAGGCACTGTACACCTCCCGCAGTCTACACCTATTCTCCATCGCCGAATTCAATCAGTAAATAAACTACTGAGAGCTTAAACGTAATGATTTTCCCTCCCATTATTCTAATAATACGGTCTTGATTTTTACTGCAAGCTTCAATCCATTTTTATCGTATCTTGGACGGGTTGGGCTCACCAACATTGGAGGGGTGCACTGTAACAACGTTGCTGCGTTCTCCTTGACCGGCTTCGGTGGAAGCTGTGACCCAAAACTGAAAACCCATGCAGACAAAACATAAATTTACCGAAGCTTAAAAACGATATAAATAATAATTTTTAAATAAAGTAATAATACTATTAATAAATTCAGTTCACATATAATATCACAATAATTTTCTGAAATCTTCGCTGAGAACACAGAAAATTTTCACATTACTAACAAAAAAGTCTAAGCTTAATCTTGCTAAACTTAATTGGAAGATAAAAAAGATTACATTGATTTCATTAATAAAGTATGAATACGCACAAAACAATTTCCGTTTCTAAAAGATATTGTCGCGATAAGTTAACTTCTAAGGGTGATACCAATAAGTTATTCATCTAAAATTTCAAATAGTTCTTCTTCGGAAAAATTTGTGTCAGAACAATGTTCTTCTTACAAATTCTATTACAAGCTAGGGCAAAACACGCGCTCTCCGACTTGCAGTAATCTTTATCATTGACACATCACTGAGACAATAACAAAAGTAGGGAACGAAATTTACTGGTCCGAGTGAACTAAAAATTGCATTGCAATGAAAGTTAACAAAGTAAACTTTACCTCAATAGCTTCTTGTGGTAAGTCATGCACCGTGGTTGTTCGCTCTTCTCCGTCGACTACTTTGGTAGAAACGAGGTCCGATGGCCAAGTCTTAGCATCTGCTGGTGTCCTCCAGCGGACGGTGTATTTGGTCACCAGTCCATTGGTCCTCAGCGGCGGCCGCCAGGCCACGATAGCGCTATGAGGGCCCACAGCTACAGCCTTTATGCTCTCTGGGGCTGACGGTACTGGAACATGCACAAAAACATCAATACATCGCATTTAATATTATTAAAAATCATTGTGAAAATACTGATTATTTTTACTAAATTGTAAGTCTAATCAATCATTCTTGGATATCATGAACCAATGAGGCGATATGGATCGTCGAAGAAAATTAAAATTTCCTACTCTAACAAGAATAATTTATTATTCTTGCTTACTCTGTAACAGACAAAATAAATTCATTTTGAGTTTGATGAAGTCTGTTTTCACTATTCGTTAACGAAGCATACATGATCAGATATAGCGAGGACTGGCCGATGTCATCCGAATACCCTATCATTACAATTGGCTTCCTGAATGTAATAAGATTATGCGAATTTCTGTGACGCAAAAAATGGATGGTAAAATATAGGTAGAGTTTGTGTGCTCACCGTCTTGCAGGGTGGTGCAGACGAGGGCTTCAGAAGGCACTCCAACCCCCACCCTCGTGGCAGCTGCCACCACCACCGAGTAGTTGGTGAAGGCGGAGAGCGACACGAGTCTGGCGCTAGTGCCATCACCTACGACAAGCACGCCGCCCTCCGACACACCTACGCTGCCTGGCTTGCGCCAGCCTAGTACAACATGCACAGGAGAGAATTTTTTGACTGAAACAAGTGTAATGCGGTCTGAGAAATTCTAAAGATGAGATTTTAAAATTTGAGTTTGCAAACATATTCTTTTAATTTGAGTAGCTTGTATATAAACTAATTTTCAAACAATTTTTTTCCAAGCTACACTAATAGTTCATATCTGCTCGAAAATTTCGAAAGATAGGCTTTACGTCACTTACTTCGTTACAGTTTTTAATAGTTAAGTATAAATTTATTAATCCATTGCATTCTTGTAGGATCGAATTTTTGATCTGATTATGGGACTGGTGTAAAAATCGTTTAAAATGAAAATATGATGAGTTTTAGGAGATTTCGAATGCAATGTTTTCACTTCGCTGAACATTACATGTTCCATTCCCAGGATTATTTGATGTACGAGTGAGGGGAGAATTTTGTCAGACAAACGTCAACATTTGCTTACTCTTCAGGAAACTCACCATAAGGAATGGGTGAATTGACAAAAGTTCCCGTGTTTGCCAAATAATCAAAACTGAGAGAATCCCAGTTTGTCATTGAAGGAAGGAAGCGATGTCCAGGCTTTGGTTTGAACGAACGATTTCCTGGAACATTCAGTTCCCCCCAGCGAGCTTCTGGAAAAGAAAGGACCGTTATTAATAATTAATCATCAGCCATGTAGTGTGGATTAATTGGTGGCAAGTTGAGTTAAGTCTTTTTACACGCGTTCATTTGACGCAATTCATATCTGGACTTATGGTCGGAGGAATTTAAATGTGTTTATTCATGAACATGATAGACTGCAATTGGAAAAAAATTATTCATCGTAATGAAAACATTAGAAAATTGTTCCTCCTGAGAATTTTGTCAATTTACCTTAAAATGGTATCGTAGAAGATAATTTTAGCTATTACTATCCTTGCGTTTGAGTTGAGAAGTTGATTCAAACGTTATAACCATCCCATTTTTATTTGCTCCAAAAAGACTAGGTTATGAAATTTGGTAATTGTCATTTAGGTTCAGAAGTTTTGGGCAGAATATTCAAATTCCACTACATCTGGTACTGGAATTGGTACCAACTATAATTTCTAGATTCACTAGAAGAAATAAAATTATATAAGAAAAGTGAATTTAAAAATAATCGAATTTCTATTATAAGCTCTTATTATAAACTTTTCTAAAGTACATGCTTATGTGCACAACTTAAAGCTAAGATCGACTGTCATTTCCACTCGTCATGGCGATTATTAAATGAGCCCTGAAAATTGTCAAAGTTCATGATTCGGGCAGATCAAATTACACGGAACTCTGCACATCCAGGAACTTCAAGTATCAAGATCTGAAATAAAGCCTGCACAATGTATATTATTTTCTCACTTGGATTAATGTAAACTACCCGGCAGGTAAACACTTCATAATTCTAACCTTTTCGATGGACTTTAACGTAGGCCACGCGGTAGCCCGTGATGACGCCGTTAGCGCCCCTGGCGGGAGGCTGCGACCAGGCCACCGTCAGGGTCGATGACGTCGTGGGTGTGCAGCTGACCTCCGAAGGTGCGGCATCAGGTCCTGGCACGTGAGGAAATTACAAAAAATGAAAGGTTAAATATTCTGTTGTTAAGCAGTAGTTTCTTTAAACTGTATTGCAAACTGTGCATGTCCGTCTCATGTTGAGTTCAGTAATAGTTTAAAATTTTTTCATTTTTGAAATATTATAAATTTTAAATTACACTACTTATTACATCAGTTCCCAAAACATTGGTATTCGTACGCGAAAGCTCACACCGCATTACCAAGAAACGGAGGGAACAAATAATCTTCCAGAACCTAATCAGATGTAGCTTTATCAATGATAATAGAATGTTAGGCAAAGAGTCCGTAGACTAATGGCTGGAATGTTTTTGCTGCCTACCAAAAAGTGTGTGAACGCAACTTTTGACATCGCTGAAAATTTAACATCACTGAAAGTTTTAAGTTTTGTATCACGTCTATTGTATTTCCAAGTGAAGGAACTGATACATAGTATAAAACAACTCGTGACTCATTAAATAATTATTACATTATTTGCTGTAGCATCATGCCAGATCGAGCAATTCGTATAAAATAACATTTCACACGAGTTTAAAAAACTTACGAAGTCGAGTTAATTGTTATGGTTAGTTAGTAATGGTTAGTTGCTTAGCATGTTAAAATGAAAGCTAAAATGGACTCATCTAGTTTTATTTCAACAACAACTCACGATCTTCATCTGTAGTGACAGTCACTGCTGGTGAGGGCGGTCCGAGACCTTTTGCGTTGAAGGCTCGCACTAGCATCGCATAGCGTGTGTTCGGCGAGAGACTTTCCAATGAAATCTCAACCACTCCGCTTGGCTGGACGTTGACAATTTTAGCGACCGGGCTAGAGGATTTGTTTTCTAGGTTATTGGATCCTGTTTCTAAGGAAGAGATGCTCGAATCAGGCTGGTATTGCATGACTGCTGCGTAAGAACCGTCTGAATTTCCTTGGTTGTTGATTGTCAAATCAGAAAGGTCGATGGCTGTGAAATTGTAGGGGCGATTTTGGCCGTCTTGGGCGAAGCTGCAGTAGGAAAATGAACAACTTACCAAAGAACGTGTATATTTTCAGTGAGTCACTTCCAAATGAGTATTTCAACACATGATAGCGAAATTGTGAACGGTTAAAACGATAGTAAATACTTAAGAAACGACTTTAACAAATCCATCTATCTTAATAATTCAATCAAATAGTTCAAAACAAAAACACCTCAAAATTATTTGTGTGTACGCTGTTAGTTTCTTTAAAATATTCTGTTCAACATGATTATCTACATAGCTCTAGGCTTCGATGTCCCACATATTAATTCATCCATGCAAAGCCACGCATCTTAATTTACAATTAAAAACTCGTCCATTTCATATTGGTAAATTCTCAAATTAGCTATTATAAAATATCATAACGAACCTGTTATCGGTATAACCAAGCTGGTACCCTAAGATGCTGCCGTGGCTTGCGTTGGGGAACGGAGGACTCCAACTCAGTCGAACCGATCTAGAAGTTGACGACACGAGCTGCGAATAATAAAAGTTTAATTAACATTAAAGGTTAAATAAGAATAATATGCATACTTAGTTCAGGGGTAAGGTCGGGGATGTGATTAATCCATTGAAAAGAAACGAATTTTTTTATATCGATTTCTAGTTTAGTGACATTAAAGTTTGTTCATGGAACGAAACCAATTTACATCTAAGCAAAATAACATTTCAGTAGCGAAAACATTAATTTTTATTTCAATGTCCTTCCAGAGAAGAATAATTGATTTAGAATGTAAAATATGAAAGAAATATATTCTGCAAAACATGAATAAAGACATTGAACAGTGACAGTTAATTAGTGCGTGTAACCTTCATTATTCATCAAGATGTCATATCAAGCGCATCGGAGACATCAACTTAACAGCATACAATGTATGCTGTACAATGCAATACAATGTATGCAATACTGCTAACAACTTTGCACGAAAAATCAAATTTCGATGTTTGTTACCTTAAAATTATATCATAATTTCTTTCAGTGTGCAAGTGAGAACTTTGGTAAGTGAAAGTTGAATGAATTTAATTATTTGATATGGAAATATAGTAAAAACATATCGTATAATTGTATACTTGAATTATTCATCCTAGTTCTCGTGCGTTGGAGCTCACGATAGTACGTTTTCGTTAACCAAGACATCGCATTTTATAAAACGACAATTTTTACCCTAAAAGTTTACCCTAAATTTACCATTTACCCTACAAATATTGAAATTAATATGAGAAGAAAAATAACATTATTTCAGGAGCTCTAGCTGCTAACCCGGATGTTCCTGGGGTAACCCGTAGGTTTCTCCTCAAGAGTGGTGACGAGAAGGGCTTTAGAAGGGATGCTCTTGCCGACCCTGTTGACGGCAGTGACCCGCAACACGTATTCCGTGGCTGGCGACAAATGGTCCAGCCGAATCCTGGCTTCTTGAGCCTGAACTTCCCGCACCGATCCTGAGAGTGAATAGTAACCATGCATGCAGAATTTTAAAGCTTTGAATTGATTTTGTTAACAGCTGTTGCATAATATGAAAATCTACTGATACTCTGGACGTAGAACAAATATTAGAAAATTATTAACCAAAAAATATATGATACGAAATTACATACAACTTGAGAGGAGACATAAAATTAGGCGAGGAAGAAATAAAGTGAAGAAAAGTCGATATACAAAATTTTACGAAGACTTATTAAACTACCACAGTTTATTCAGAAATATTTCGTTGCCCTTTAAATAAAGAAGGCTGATGGAGAATAAATTGTTTACCGTCATTATCAGTGATGGTGACAGTGTAAGACATGACAGGCACAGCAGCACTGCTCGTGACCGGTGCTGTGACAGCGTCCCACCACAGCACGAGGGACCGAGACGTCGCGTCCGTCACACGTACGCCTGACGGGGTCACCGGCACGTCTGCAATAACAATGAGCATGGAGGTATATTAAATTCATATTATTTTTTTTCGGTCGAACTGATTACTGTATAGCGTAGTAACGTTGTAAAGCAACGCCTATTATATATAACTTCAAAACGGAAAATAATTCTATCTTCATTGCAAAATAAAAGGTTTCAATGCAATTGAGCATTATTGAAATAAAATTGATGTTCCGATCAAATCTATTAATTCTTTGGATGATGAAAATTACTTAAGCTCTGCAAGGAAATCAGAGAGTTCATCCCTAGGTAAGTAAAATTTCATTTACAATAATAAGTAATGTTACAGTGAACTGCCATGCTTGGATTTAAACTGTAAAAGGCATCTTAAAATTTTCGAGTTCAATATTAGTTTCAAAATATTTTTGCCACCTCATCTTTGCTGTCCGAATAAGTCGTCTTGAAGAATTTCATCGGATTACAAAATAAGCACGCATCAAATTTTAAGCAGAATTTGCCTATCGCAGAAGTTGCCAACACTGATGGACAAGTAATACCATGCACTGTGTACATGGTTGCTTAAGATCACGATATTGAGCTTCAATGAAAACGTTTGCATCGAGTATAGGATCCAATAGAATTTGAGATTAAAAAAAAAAAACACTTTTTTTGAGATTTTTCTTTAAGCATCAACAATCCGGTACAAATTAAGTGAGTCCATGCTCATTATCTGGATTTAAGAGATCACTACAATAAGTTTTAATCATAAAATCACCATTCTGCGTTGAGATATATTAATACTAATGATAAAAATAATGATGATAAAATAACTGTATGATAATTATAATAATAATATTTGGTCTGTAGTAACGCCATCCATGTGAAGCACTGTACCCACCCTGCACCAGAAGCTGATATTCCGCAGTGCGCGCGCCGTGCGCGTTCGACGCCTGACACTCGTAGGTGCCAGAGTCAGCCGAGCGAGCCTGCTGCACCGTCAGCAGCAGCGCCACCCCACCGGCGTCTTCCGCCTTCACTTCCGATTGAATCCTGGCGAAAAAAAAGATAAACAAAGGCATGATTAATTATTTTCTTGGGATTAATTTTTGTTTCTTCAGTTTGAGAGAAATTTCATTACTCCTGAGTTGTGAGTGTTGTCTTCGTCTGTAGTAGTGAATCCAGTAAACAGGAAGCTAAAAATGTCAACGATCGGAAATGTTTCAGCTAATTCACGATTCGCGTTTTTTAAGCGCGAATGAAATAACAGAAGAATGTAAGAAAAATGTTCATATATCAATAAAAATATCATTATAATCCATGAAACGTGTCAAAAAACAAAAGTAAACCTGGAAAAATACGCATAAGAACAAGAAAAGGTAGGTAGGGGACAGAAAAGACATAAAGAAGAAAAGACGGAAAGAAGAAAAGACGGAAAAATTAAAAGCATTCAAATCGAAACATAATAAGACAAATTTTGAAACACGAGGCTGAAAAGAACACGAGACCAAAAAATGACACGGACCTCTGAGATGAGAAGAGCGGCTGTCCAGCGCTAGTCCAGGAGACGGCCAGCGGAGCGTCCCCCATGACCCGACACCTGAGGGAGGCGGCGTCCCCCACCATCACCTCCACCGGCTTGGGGGGGTCGGGGAACCAGGGCGGCTCTGATCACCAAGCAAATAACCAGGAAATTATATTGATGGTTAAACTTAAATATTAATTCACAGGCGAAAAAAAAGAAAGCTCGGGATTTGAAAAAAGAAGTAAAATACTGAACAAAGGTGTCAAGCTTTCTTACCTTAGCAAAGTGGTACGCACAATATTTGTGCGTCCAAAAATATGAAAAATTGTATGAATACTTTAAAAACATTGAATGAGAGTAATAGTTTTGAAGATGCAGGCCAAGAGAGTCATGGGAATAGTCTAATAGATACCTTTTAAGATGTATATGAATATTCTGATAGCTGAAAATTTCCAAATTTAACTGAATTTTATTGAATAGAATGTAGGGAATAAAATCTGAAATACTCTCTGAGAACGACAATTTTTTTGGTGGGGGGGGGGGGAATTCTAATGTATAATAAAAAATTCTCTCAGATTGTGTGGATGTGAAATTCTGAAATGTATTGCATGAATGTGGCTCAGAGTTAATTCAGAACAATTACACGGGAACAATCAAGTCATGATACGGCGTAATTAGGTCGGATTACGTGTTAATGAGCGTATGTAATTATGATCATTTAGAGGCCCAGTCGAAACAATGCAGCACGGCGCCTCGTGGTCCTCGTGATAAATCATGATGAGCATATTTTATAAATGCGGTTGAATATATTCACGCTCACCTACCAGTAAATTATTAAAAGGTTAGATAAATCATAAAGTTGAGTTCGTAAGGCAGAGCTTCAAATGATTTAGAATATCTTCGATGCAAAAATCATCAGGCAGCAGAAGTAATCTTAATTTCAAATGCCATGAGAAAAACTGGTATAGAATCGAATATGGCAGAAAATAGGCTTTTATTTTTGCCAAATTTCAATTCACATTATAGGTAAATACATGAATTTATGCATGAAGAGAATAGAAACACATTTTGTATATCGTTCGTATGTTTTCACGAGCTTGAAAAATATTTTATTAACTTTCCTTCTAAACGCTTCTTGTTTTAAGGAGACGAAAGTATAAAAAGTTAGGTATACTATTTAAAAGTTAGTGTTCTTTATTGGGCGCTAAAACAAATGAAACCCCTGCAATGAAATTCTGATAAGCAAACGCGATAAGCCCTGTTCCTGTCTGAACCGCAGCGGTCAACGGACCTAATGAGATCAACGTGGTTAACCAGATAAGTTAATCATATTACGCGGCTGCTTGATCGCGCTGGGTGCATCAACGCACTAAATATTACATTAAAATAGCAGAGATTTTTACGGACATTCTGTAGCAAATACCAGTTTTTACAGTTTTACGGTAAAATGGGATACTATGCACACAATGGGAGACCACAGATTCTACAACGCAACCGCAACCGGAGAATAAATAGTAAATAATAGCAAAGTATAAAATTTTTTACTGAATAGAAAATTCTATGCAGTGAACTTTCAAAGCATATTCACTAAAAAAATATTGCAGTTTAGGATGCATACAAAAGTTGTATGCTCAATGTCACTTCTTGTCCTACAAAATTTTCTCAATAAACGAGCTGCCTTGCCAACAGATTTATCATTCAACCAATTCTTCAATTTTACACTATAAAATTGCAAAAACAGCATTTTTTAATTTTCATGCCAGCATTTTTATATTAATAATTTTAAAAAATGATAATTTCTCATTTTCATATCTTTTCTCGTGAGCTACCAGTGCAAAACTAGGAAATAATCTCAACCGTCGGTTGAGCTTATATTCCAACCATCTAATCATGGTTGTGCGGCCGTCGAAAACCAGTATCGATAAGTTCGCAGCCATAGCTGTTGCCGAACGTAACTCTTCTATTGGCTGAGTTTTTTTATTCAGTGAGATGAAGTAGACATCTGGTACAAACAATTTGGTCGTAGGCTGAATATGGAGAGCGATCAAAGATAGGTTTGCGGCCACATCTGTCGCCTGGTCGATCAATCATAATTCCCGTGCGACTACAATTAGACGGTTAGAATGAATATTAGAAGATTAGAATGAAGATTAGAAGATGAGAATGCGTCTTGTCAAGCTGCTACTGAATTCAGATCAAGACTTGAGGACGCATTCGGTGGCTTGAGCACAGCATCAACTATATAGAGATGTAATCAAATCCGATCCGTTTTGACTGCCATAAGTAATAAATTGAAAGCAGTAATTTTTTATTCGGGAACTGAAACGTTACGCAAATTTCTAGCTACAGCGCAACTAAATCACTATAATAAACGTGAGCTGAGGCACTATAAAGTCTGTTATCTCACCGCTGACAGACACCGTAATGACTTTGGACAGTCCAGGCCCGACTCCGTTCCTTGCTTGGCAGCTGTAGCGCCCCTCGTGTCGGCGCTCAGCCTTGTTTATCACAAGCGAGCTGTTGCCGCTGCCGCCTCCTCTCAGTTGCTGCTTTTCCGAGCCCGAGGACCGGAAAGCAACCAAATCCGCAGTACCGGACGTAGCACTCACTCCGAAACTGGCAGCTGCAAAATGCAGGGCCTTCCAGTTGCCGGATTCTGGAGAAAAATAAAACATTTTTAAAGCTGGTTCCAATTTTTCATAGAATCCAGGCCTTTCATTTAGCAGAATGGAAATTAAAGCTGAAATTAAAGAACAAATGTTAATGTGGAAAAACGGTTCAAGATGATTTTCGGCAGAAAGGCTATGCGATTTATTAGCTGGACAGAAATTAATTTTAGAATTACATTATTTTCATCTATTGACCAAACTTTAAATTAATCCTAACATTAAAAGAAATGTTAATCTCAAAATGTTTTCCTTTAATCTTAAAATTAATGTGAAGCTACTGAATTCAGATCAAGACTTAAGGACGCATTCGGTGGCTTGAGCGCAACATTTCATCAACTATGTAGAGATGTAATCAAATCCGATCCGTTTTGACTGCCATAAGTAATAAATTGAAAGCAGTAATTTTTTATTCGGGAACTGAAACGTTACGCAAATTTCTAGCTACAGCGCAACTAAATCACTATAATAAACGTGAGCTGAGGCACTATAAAGTCTGTTATCTCACCGCTGACAGACACCGTAATGACTTTGGACAGTCCAGGCCCGACTCCGTTCCTTGCTTGGCAGCTGTAGCGCCCCTCGTGTCGGCGCTCAGCCTTGTTTATCACAAGCGAGCTGTTGCCGCTGCCACCACCTCTCAACGGCTGCTTTTCCGAGACCGAGGACCGGAAAGCAACCAAATCCGCAGTACCGGACGTAGCACTCACTCCGAAACTGGCAGCTGCAAAATGCAGGGCCTTCCAGTTGCCGGATTCTGGAGAAAAATAAAACATTTTTAAAGCTGGTTCCAATTTTTCATAGAATCCAGGCCTTTCATTTAGCAGAATGGAAATTAAAGCTGAAATTAAAGAACAAATGTTAATGTGGAAAAACGGTTCAAGATGATTTTCGGCAGAAAGGCTATGCGATTTATTAGCTGGACAGAAATTAATTTTAGAATTACATTATTTTCATCTATTGACCAAACTTTAAATTAATCCTAACATTAAAAGAAATGTTAATCTCAAAATGTTTTCCTTTAATCTTAAAATTAAGGAAAATTAAAGGAAAAATACACATCGATAGTTGAGCAATTTAACAAAATTAGTATAGGTTGTCAGAATTTGTTTCTATAAGCAGGTTTTATTGAAGACCATTGAATTTGTTTTATTGAACATTTTCTTATAAGTTTTCTCAATTTATCCGACAATATTTTTCGTTTGCATTGGTAAATTGAAAATCAGAGTACTGATGGACATTTTTAATTCGTTAACGACGTTCCGAAGGTCTCAATAATTCGTTGTCAAATTACAAGACGCATTGAGTGATGAAATTTGGATTGACATAAGTACAAAATCATGTGAATAGGATACTACTCAAAACTCAGAATTTGATTAGAAATAATTACAAATTCACCGAAATATGAAGATGATCAAGAAATAAAGCCCCAAAAATTACCTCGAAAACCGTCTCAAGGTTTTGAAAAATTCAGTAGTTTGGAGGTTGACGGCTAGAGTCCGATCCTTAATGATGAGGGCCTCAGCTATCGTCAGTCGGTTGGCGTCGGGGCATCGCATGACGACTATCATCGGGGTATATTATCATCGGGCTCACAACTACGACATTAAGTCGACGTCTCACGGGCCACATTCAGGCAACACTCTACGGACTGAAGGACTCTCTCCCTGTTTCTTCCCTCTGAGTTTCCATCAATATGTGCGAATGCGTTCTTCGTTGCATTATAAGATGTACGGAAACAAAGTTTCATAAAAAATTGTAGTAAGATCTATATTCCTTTAAATTAAATTTGCGCAAAAACAAATAGAACATTCCCACATGGAGGAAGGTGCATGGAAGGAAGATGATTACCGGTTTGATGCTTCCAAGTGACAGTAGGCGCAGGGTTTCCAGTAGCGCTGCACGGCACATGCAGCGCTGCTGCCAGGGCAACGCTGGCATCGTGGGGCACTTCCTGCCATTCCGGTGGCACTGGCAAAAATTAAATAATTGACTTCAATTGAATATATGACAATCTTGATGATGTGGCATTCATTTACCATGAGCATCGGGGTGGAACATCTTTTTCAAGCAATATTTATTGAGAAAATGAAAGTTCTCAATAAATGAAAATTTGTTCCACAAACATCTTTCTTCGTTCGCAGACGATTGATGGAGAAATAACTTTTCAAAACAGCAGTGTTTTTTATTAGCTTTATTGAGGAAATTTATGGTGAAGAAAATGAAAGAGCTTCAAGTTATAATTTACGTTAATGTGTTTAAATTTGTGTATGTCAGAAAAATTTACGTAATTTGTCATGAAAAGTTATTATGAACAATGAACGAATTATCAACAAAGAGTTAAGCGGCGCTACATTATAATGTTTTCAAATCTGCCATGAATATTCTGGGAAATAAAATATTTGGCAGCCAATGTATCTACAATTGTACACAGTTCCAAATTATCAACCACATCTCATTCACGAACCTTTAACTGAAAGGATGGCCGATGACTGCGTCGTGTGCCCGGCGTTAGAGGCGGAACAAGTGTAGTTCCCGGAGTGATGCGCTTTGGCTATGGCAATGACCAGCACGGAAGTGAATTCATTAAGCTGCGATATTTCCAAATCTGGAGAAATTGACGGATCCAAAAGAAGACCGTCTTTGAGCCATCGAATGGTGATTGGCGTGTCGCCTTCTTGCACAAGACATGTCGCTTGAGCTCGCATGCCGGAACGAGTGCCTTTAGAGAACACGATGGGGGCCAAGCGAGGAGGAACTGCTTCGTCAGCAGGACAAGTAGGAAGAAGAGGTGCTTCCATTAGGGCATTTATTGGGATAGCTATTTGCTACATATACCTGGAATTTGTTAATACAGCAAATTGATTTATGTGTGCCGTCAAAGCGAGTGGATGTTGTCAAACTAGGAATGAGCGCCTCTTCAGTGTAAGTTATTAAAACCATCAGTAGTATCAAATGATTCAGATATAGTATCTCACAAAATAAATAAAACACAACGTGTAGCAATTATTTTAAATTCAAGATCAACAAACAATAAACTTTTTCAACCACAAAACAACATCATTTTATTCAAACGCGAATCTACAACAGTTGAAAAATACCTCACCCGTGACAGTGAGTGTGAATGCCTGCGTGTCTGAGCGTCCCTGCCGGTCCCAGGCCGTACACGCATAAGTGCCCTCGTCTGCCGCACGCGTCACGTCCGTGAGCTGCAGCGTCCCGCCCTCGTCCACAGACTGGTGGTCGCTGGACGGCAGCTCTTCTCCGTCTGTTGTCACGTTAACATCAGGCTCATTAGAAGCTTTCATTCGTTTCATTGTATTCGTTTCTTATAGTCAATCAACTAGGAACATTAATTAAAGAATACTAATGGCTTGAGTTGATATGTTGATAAGGTCACATGGTCATGCTTAACCTTTAAAAAAATTTAACTGCGAGTGTTATCAAGATAAGTTTAATATCAAAATTTTCAAAAAGAAGTAATTGGTCAGAAATGCTTATGCAAAAAGGTAAAAATAAGAATATATAGCGACTACTTAAATTCAGGTGCAGACCCATCACGGACCTATTGATAACATGACACGTATTAACCCATTACGAACCTGTTGATAATGTGATAATGTGACACGTATTGACCCATCACGAACCTGTTGATAACGTGACACGTATTGATCCATCACGAACCTATTGATAACATGACACGTATTAACCCATCACGAACCTGCTGATAACGTGACACGTATTGACCCATCACGAACCTGTTGATAACATGACACGTATTAACCCATCACGAACCTGTTGATAATGTGACACGTATTGACCCATCACGAACCTGTTGATAACGTGACACGTAAACGAACAAGTCAATTGCATTTCAACTTTCAAGACATGTAGAGGAGAAAATTTATTACAAAATAATGAGCAATTTCATCTTAGAGACTAATATCGATTCAAGAGAAAGAAAAACAAATTAAGAGTGTTAAAAGTCAGACTCGACCGCATCTTTGAGAAAAGCAAGTGTTCCGCTTTTACTGGAATGACGGCCAAATATAAGAAAAAGACATTAACACCTGCAACACATTCTCCTCCTTGCTGAGTACTATGACGAAGCAATCATTACCTCTCTTCAACGATTTCTCTCTCAAAAAATGTTAATTCGACATCGAAAATCGCATTACATGACATTACAACGCAGACTTAATCTTATACCGTTCTACTGTAGTTGCAGCAACGGCACAACCGAAAAAAAGATAAAATACATCAGTTCTGAGACATTCTAACAAATATTCTACGAGGTCAAGACTACCAAATGCCAACCGATGAAGCGTGAAATTCACTCTTAGATTTCCTGGACAGCTTAACCCGCGCTGCCGAACTCATTGGAGCGCGAGAGCAAAAGGCCGGAAACAGCACTGAAGTTTACGTGGTAAATACCAAGCGGACGGTCCCCTAGATCGCAGAAAGCTCCCGAGTTGGTATCCGTGTATGCAAGAAATCGCTGGCTTTTGCTGGTGTTTGCGAGGCTGCCGCAATTTAACGCAAGGTTTACCCGAGTAATATGGAGTGATGTTTATACTGCGGGCGCCTCCTGGAGATAAAATATTGGAGCGTCCGGTGGAGGCAAACGCTAAAGTTTACGTAGGGACTTTGTTGTCTTTAAAATGTTTCTCTAGATCGATATAAATTAATAGGATTGTAACACTATTCTTATTCTTACTTCTATGACTTTTTTAACAACTGAGTTCTAGCGCAGACTTCCTCAATATTGAAGGGTTCAACCCAACGTTCCAAGAAAAAAAAAACTTTGTTCATTACTTGTAAAAAAAAACAAGTAAAGTACGACACAAGACACAATAAGTTATTAGATATTTTATTCGAAAGTGTTCAGTGCCATTTTCTTTCAAATTATATCGCCATGTAAAAATAGAAATTTTGACCCTTAGTTTCAAATGAAGCATAATAAAACTGACCTTGGTGGCCATGCAATTGAGTCTTACTATTCCCATGCTTGCAAGTCACTGGACATTTGTTGCTCACTTCTTGGCTGGCAATGGATGCTGGAATGGAAAAGAATTATTCAAAACACGTGAGCAGTAACGTCGCTTATCATTTTTTTTAACGCCGGGAAGCCTTGTCTGCTGAGACCATAATATCTCAGGCGCTTTTTCGACGCCTAAAATTATTCATGGGAGAATGAAGTAATTTGCAAGCCGTCTACGCTCGGCGTGCTCGACGAAGCCCTGAAGTGAAAGCCTTGCAAGGACTCGAGGGAAGCCAAAGATAAAACTGGGACTGCTCCAACCAGTGACGCCCCGTTACACGATTCAGAGACTCAGGGAAAGCTATCGAAATTCGAAATTTCGGTTTAGGGGGCGGAAAAAAAGCTGTGTGCGACGGCAATAAATTTATAGACGACTAATATGCCCAAGGGACACACTTGGCTTCAAGAAAGATGACGGTGTAGGGGCAATAAATACATGCGTGACCTACCAAAAATGATCTCGGTGGAATGGTATCGAATATTAGTTATGCCGACCGTTCACAATATTCGAAATGATTAAGAAAATGACTTCCATGCACAAATCTAGGCAATCGGGCAATAGCTCAAAAAGCAAAACACGGGACTCCAGAGATCGCCCGCTGTAGAACACAAGCCTGTTCAAGGTTTGTACCAAACAAAAGCTAGAAACATTTTTAAACAGAGGGAACAAGTCTGAAGTTATGAGCTCACAGGCACTCCGGAAATTACACGAGCACTCTAGACTCTAGAGGGATAACAGCTGACAATGAGCTACTCGCAATAATTAACCGTAGTTAACAATTCAAATAATTTAACGTATCGCCTAAGATAATTCTGTGCATAAAATTCTCATGAACATGCGAAGTTGATGCAGAGGGTTATTCTCTCTCCCCCGAAGACATGGATTGCTGGATCAGCCGCTAAGCCTCAATATCAGCTAAAAAAAATGAGAAGTCAACTTATCTGGCTGTGTGACTGTGGCAGAGGGAAGCCGTCCAGGGTCCAGGTGATGTGTGGCGTGGGTGTGGCAGTTACCTGTGTGACTGTGGCAGAGGGAAGCCGTCCAGGGTCCAGGTGATGTGTGGCGTGGGTGTGGCAGTTACCTGTGTGACTGTGGCAGAGGGAAGCCGTCCAGGGTCCAGGTGATGTGTGGCGTGGGTGTGGCAGTTACCTGTGTGACTGTGGCAGAGGGAAGCCGTCCAGGGTCCAGGTGATGTGTGGCGTGGGTGTGGCAGTTACCTGTGTGACTGTGGCAGAGGGAAGCCGTCCAGGGTCCAGGTGATGTGTGGCGTGGGTGTGGCGCGGGCGATGCACTTCAGGGACACGGCAGGCCCAGGCTGCAGCGTGTGCGCGATGAAGCGGTACACGAGGCGCGGTGTGGAGGCTGTGTGAGACGAAATTTTTGCAAAACCTGTGATTTAAAGATTATTTTTTAGAATTATTTTCCAGTTTCCTCGGTATTTGTAAACTTGAAAACCTCAATTCAAATAATAACCTTCAGCCAACTCACTTATTTGTTTACTTTCAGGAAAGTTCCAGTTATCTTTTGGAATAAAATTGGACTACACAAAAAATTGCGCTAAAATTACTTTACATTTTCCTTTTAAAAATAAGTTTTATTACATCTCTTTTTTTCAAAATTAAAACAAAAATTCCTCGTCCAGGTTAATCCCCTGTACATTATGTCACGTGGAGACACATTTGACCACCTTCCACACATATTAGCGCCAGGTTCATAACATCCAAACCAACAGGAACAACCGAAGCGTCCAAATTATATGGTGTACATTGCGGCCCACCATGGCCGTCTAAAATGTATAATGTGCATTGCGACCTACCTAGGTTGTCAAATATATATAATGTACATTGCGACCTAGCTAGGGCGTCTAAAATATATTATGTCCATTACGACGTATACCAAGGGCGTCTAAAATATATTATGTCCATTACGACGTACCAAGGGCGTCTAAAACCAAACCAACAGGAACAACCGAAGCGTCCAAATTATATGGTGTACATTGCGGCCCACCATGGCTGTACATTACGACCTAGCTAGGTTGTCAAATATATATAATGTACATTGCGACCTAGCTAGGGCGTCTAAAATATATGATGTCCATTACGACCTACCTAGGTTGTCAAATATATATAACGTACATTGCGACCTAGCTAGGTTGTCAAATATATATAATGTACATTGCGACCTAGCTAGGGCGTCTAAAATATATTATGTCCATTACGACGTACATTGCGACCTAGCTAGGGCGTCTAAAATATATTATGTCCATTACGACGTACCAAGGGCGTGTAAAATATATAATGTACATGATGACTCACCTCCAAGCCTGACGACGGCGGTGGCCTGGGCAGCCTCATGGCTGGACTGTACCAGGCACTGGTACACGCCTGTGTCGGGCGACTGTACTGCGCCCACTCGCAACACGTCACCTCCTGAAGCAGCGCTGCCAGTGCTGACAACAAAAGAAGACAAAGGTTTTATTTTTATACGCGATAAAGATTTCAATCCAATAACAGACATGGGTATTAGTTCTTGCTAAACGAACTAGACTGGAATTAATATGTTTTATAATTGATTGAAGCATTTACATTTTACAACGAGAGTTTTTTCTTTTTCCTCTGCGCAAACAGTAAGATTCGCAAATTTCTACGTTGTTGTCGCAACTTAGTTGTAAGTCAAAAGTGTATATTGCGATTAATGGTACGCCCTCAACATGTAAGCAGACTAAATAATTGACTGCTACACTCACCGTGTAAGTTGTCCGTCTTTATACCAGACGAGCAGGTCCACAGGCGAGCCCGTCACGACACAGCGCAGCTCGAGCTCCTCGCCTGCGTCCACCTCCACGAACTCCGGTGACACCTGCTCGAAAAATTAATTTTTGTTCAGTACAATTTTTGTGTTCCCGTGCAATTAATTTATATTAAAATTTTGTTCTTGTACAATTAATTTATATTCAAATTTTGTTCTCGTACAATTAATTTATATTCAAATTTTGTTCTTGTACAATTAATTTATATTCATATTTTGTTCTTGTACAATTAATTTATATTCATATTTTGTTCTTGTACAATTAATTTATATTCAAATTTGGTTCGCGTTCAATTAATTTATATCAAAATTTTGAACCGGTACAATTAATTTATATGCAAATTTTGTTCTCGTACAATCAATTTATATTGAGCCTCACGATGACAAAGCAGTTCCATCTTATCTTATAATTCGTTTACAAGTTGTTTGTTTCCGTGTCAATGCGACTTGAATTTTTTCACCAGAGAATAATTTTGCACGCGTAATTAGATTCTTAAAATATTTTTGTCACAAATTTTGAGGACTGAGTTTCGTTGTGCTTCAAGTTTATTTATTTATTTATTCTATTCGATCGTTTTGACGCCCATTTACTGTGTTTAATTTTTTTTAACAGCTTGAATAATAATGTCATGAATAAATAACATAAATAAATATCATCATCTGCCGAGCTGAGGGAACCGAGAATAGAGCTAGCATTGCAATGAAGTAGAAACTCGCCCATTCTTCGCTAAGACGCAAGCTCTATTGTAAGAAATTTCAAACACATTATTCACAGTCGTCTGCTAGTATTGGAGCTTCGCTATAGCAGGATTCTCAAAATGCGAATCTATTGTTCGGATTTAGAACGCCATTTCAAATAAAATAAGACTAAGCTGTGGGATAACTTAGCAGGCAAAAAGTGCACAATTCCACGGCACACACCGAAACAATACTCAGTCACACGATGAAGCCCATTGGCAGCGTGGAAAACTCTTTTTCTTTAAGCATTTCTGATAGATTGTTATTGAATTTCAGAGGCAGCTTGAAACAAATTTTTTGAAGTGATTAGGTTAAAAAGGTTGAAGGTTAAAAATGACTTGACGGTTTGTGATTCGCTCCGACTGGAATTACGTTAAGTAAATTATAAAAAATTGTTGTTCACGGTGTAATTTCAGCTAAATTAAACAATTTGAGCCATCGACCCAACCCAATATCATCACAAATCACCGTCGAAAAACTAAGTAAGAAGTCTTATTCAATTCTCTTCTCAAGCAATTTTCGAATATTTCAGGTATAAATTAAAATGTTTTTCACCAAACTCGAGCTGAAAAAGTTTTTTCACTCAAATAAAAAATTACCAATACATCATTTTAATGTGCAGAAAACAATCCCAAAAATCTCTTTCGAGCCAAACTTTTCTATTAAACAAAACTTATATAAAACACGAGGCTCAAAACAGAATGTTCGAAAACAAGATACTTTTCAGGAGGAACTTATTAATGAGTTCGGTACCTGGACAACAAGTGGAGTGGTGACTTTAACGTAGGTGGTGATGGCCGCAGTGCCAACTGTGTTGTTCACCACACACCGATACTCTCCCTCATCACTCGTGTGCAGTGGTGCGATCTCCAGCAACCCAGGCCTCATCATCACACGATCAAGTGTGTTGTGGTGGTTCACGAGAGGCGAGTTGTTTTTGTACCACCTTTATTATAAGTACTTATATCATTAGCCTGATTAAATCACAATGAAGTTAAAAGTTCATCAATAATTAATATCCCCACTGAAAACATTTCGGAGGCCAGTTCCGGTTTACGTTGCTAATATTTGTGTATCTTTAGTCTACATTTGCATTTATCTACTGATTGTACTTGTATTCTCTTCTTGATCAGATCATAGCGTTGGTCTCCGAAACGTTTTCCGTGAAGATATCACGAATTTATGTGGCGTTTCTTTGCATTTAAATTTTTGGTGACAGTAATTATAGCAATTGAAAACCCAATGACACAATTATCATAATCATTGTATTCGATTTTAAGCAATATTTTTCATGGCTAACTATTGGCTACAAATTAATGTGATCATACAATTGTTACACCATGTATAATATCATGATATATTTTCATTCCTCAAGTCTGTATAATATCATTCCTCAAGTCTGCTTTTGCTGATTCTTAAGAGTATTGACCACGCTCTCGTAACAAAGATTTATTGAAGTAAACAGTATTCCTTAAATACAACTGAAAAATTATTAAAAATCATCTCGAAGAGGTCAACTTCCGAGGGAACTGAGCGCTCAATTTCAACCACTAGATATAAAATACATTATGTAAGTTGGTACCTTCTCATCCAACGTGTTTCCTAGATACTTCGCAATTGCTTTCGGTATATTCACTATTTTTTCCATTCATAACGAATTCCTTATACATCAAATGCACCGTTTATTTCAAGTTAAACATTGTTGTTAGTTTAGAGGGACATATGCTCTATATTTAGAAACTCAGTAATGTTGCGCTGTTGTTTTGAATTACACATGTATTACTGTTTATAAATCATCAGCAATTAATATACATCAATTAATTCTGGCGGTAAATTAATTCCAGTTCTTTCATCGTGATCCTACCCAAATTAATAAATATATAAATATATTTATCACTAAACATACGTATAGGTCGGGACAGGCCGGGCTTGAGCGACGCATGGCAGGCTGAGGGAAGAACCCTCGGCCGCGGTCACGCTGGAGCTCGGGGTGCCCGTCACCCGGGGAGCAGATGGCCGATCCGAGTCTGTGCAATTACGATTTAAAAACTCTTCATTTAGACGGAAAATGAATGAGTTAATGTTTCAAACGCATCTGTTCAAATAGTAATACAGATTAAAACATTCACGAGTTTTCCTAAGGGCAATTCATCTTTCAATGATTCATTGAATTGATCATCGGATGGAAGCTGATGATGTGTTTTCTGCAAGCTGTGTAAGGTCAAGTTGATGAGCGATTATTTTTTAACATTCCACACAGGATGCAGCGAAGAAAATTTATTATTACATGGGGGCCTATCTTCTAATCTAGCATACACTCTTCCATATTCAATAAACATTCAAAATATACGGGTGAATTAAAATAATTTGTTATTATCGAAAGTAGTTGTTTGAGTGCGTGTGTATGCCCATTATTATGCGCCCTCGTTTTCATTAAGCCTTGAGTCTAAAGCTTATAATCCCGGGGTGAAAAAAATCTCATAACGTACGGGGTTTTAGAGACCATCTCTCGCTTGATGGAATCAGGCAAGCGTGCCATAGCTTGATTGAATCCGATCATTTTAAAAAGAAAAGCTCGTCTAGGCGCAGAAGAGCGAAACATCCTCTCTAGAATGCAAGCATTTGAGAAATAATTCCAGAGATGTGAGAAATATTAGTGGAGCTTAGCTCTGCGAAGTTGTTTGCCACAATCTGATTAAATTTTGAAATAATATAGAAGAGTTGATGAAGCTCATTCAAGTTCGGCATTCTTCTGAAGAAAAATTGAAAAGAGTCAAAAATATGAGCGTAGCCAAGGTAACAAAAAAAAAAAAATACTTCCTAACAAGTCCACATGCAATTTTTCCCGTTATTTTGTAGACAGCAATTTGACTCGAATAAAAGTCGATTATTTAATCATTCCATAGACAAATTTCATTAATGATCTTTCTTCAATTGTGTCTTTCGAATATTAACTTGTTCTTCCACATTAGTAACATCTTACAAACCAGCATGAGCTCTGGCTTTGACGAGTCTCTGTCAAATATTTTCCTATTTGCTAACAACATTAGACTGCAGATCAGTTGGAAAATGCACACTGAAACCTCGCCCGTGACAATGATGCGGGCAGAGCTGGACACCGTGGTTACCCCTGAGATCATGTCAAACGCCTCACCCGTGACAATGATGCGGGCAGAGCTGGACACCGTGGTAACCCCTGAGATTGAGTTCACGGTCCGGCATCGGTATGTTGGACCGCCATCCGCCTGTACCACGTTGAACACCAGGAGGTCGCCTGATGACGTCATGTGGTACTTGTCGTCTGCAGAAATGGTAAACTTCATCGTAACCGGAAGCTATAATCGTTTGAATTTTTTCGTACTAATAGCAACATATAAATAATAAGGTGTCATCAATAATTTGTAGTAAGTAAGATCAGACACTGAAAACACATTACTGATGGCCATTGTAGCAAAGGAGTTGAACATTATCAATACATATGGAAATAAATAATATAAGCAGCAACTGTTGGACTTCTATGCCAATAATTATTGACCTGCAATTTCATCATAAATCCGGTGATGAATATTAAGTAAAACCTTTTCCCGCTGAACAGAATTACAATTAGAGAATTAACATCACTATCTTGGCTTCCGCTTATATATTATACGCATTAATTGAAAGAAATACTAACGCTTTTACGCCAGTCAATATTGCTTTTCTTCTCAATCGCACTCATTCACTCATTAAATTGACATTTCACGATTCTAATTTAAAACCAGGATTTATATCAAGCGATATCATGACATTTAATTTCCACCTATTGAATAGGAATGTCAACTGCTAAAATAAAAGGTCTCGAAAGTTGATGGGAAAAGGCCCTTAATTTGCCCGAAGTTTTTTGCTCACTTTTCACAATTCGATGAATTTGCACAGGCCCTGTATTCATCAGAACTGCAATGCGTTAGTCGAAAAACAAGCTGTGGATGACTGGTATATTTGTCTCACCGCCAAACTGTGAAGGCCCGCAGTATTTTGGTCACTTTTGACAATTCGATAAATTTGCCCCTGGTCCTGTATTCATTATAACTGCAATAAAAAAACAAGCTGAGCATGACTAGGATATTTGTCTCACCGCCAAACTGTGAAGGGACGACATTATAAACATCGTCTCTAACCCACGACGTTGCCGTGACGTAACCTTGGACGTACGGTGGCACGACACACGTCAGCAGAGCGACATTACCAGTAAGGGCATGCGCGTCGTAAGCTTCGACGTCGTACGGAGTTTCGATCACTAGAAAGAAATACCAAATTTTACTACAATTTATTCCTCAATGTAATGATTCAATAATGGAAAATTGTCGGATATTTTGCCGTACGTTTTTACATCGTTTCATTTGCTTTCGAGTTATTTGATCTTCCAATGTTGACAATTACATTTCCCTCTCTATTGCACTCCTGGTGATCTATATTCTATAGAGTTGGTTTTCATCAAAATTAAATTATAGGCAATTCGGTATATATATTTATAATTATAATAAATGTTCATCGGTCAGGAAAAATGAATATTTTTTTATCAATAATGTACATTTTAATAATTATAATGTATTTTCAGCGGGCCAGAAAAAATTAATATTTTGTATTTTTCAGTTGTATTTTATTTGAGGCTTAAAGGCGGGACGCACCAGCGCGCACGGCGACGGGCGTCGACACGACCACCCCGAGGGACGAGGCGAGGCGACAGGCGTACACTGCGTCGTGTACCGCCGCGTCGTACGCCTGCGATGGGAACGGCGCAAACTGCAGCGTTCCGTTGCTGTGCTCGGCCACCAACCCGCTCTGCAATGGGACAACTTCATCTCAATTGAGTGATGAGTGGGGGATAATGTTGACATTGATTGTATAAGTTTTCACATTGAAGACGATTGGATCATAATGATAAATTATCCATCATTTTTTTATTGCTACGCCAGAGTCTGTTTTTCTAAACTAAAACGTATCTGGAGAACATGAACACGTATTTTCAACTTTTTGAAAATTTCGTGTTCGATTCAAATGAACACACAGGTCGTGCGTGCCTCCTGTTTCTTAATAAGAAGATAAATTATCAATGGACAAGATTTGCAAATAAAATCAATTTGCTAAAATGAATTCAGTCAAGCCATTTGGAAATGAAACCTCAATACTTTGAAGTTTCGTAAACTCTAAATTTTCGTTTATTTTATACTGATTAATTCAACTCACAAAAATATTTTAACAAACAAGGGAACTGAAATGCTAGCCTTGAAATCTGAACATAAACAACTCACATTTGCCAAAGGCCTTCCGTCCTGGTAAGTCCAAGTAACTGCAGACAGCGCATCAAGCACTCGCATGCGGCACTGAATGCTGGCTCCCGTGCTGTTGCCGAACACAACTTTCCTAGGAGGCTTGGCTAACCATTGCAAACCACCATCAGTTCCTCTAATTGGAGACGATTTAGAGTCGAACTTGGTCGCCGGATCAGAACTTGTTACCGAGGATTGGTAATTTTGGACAGGGAAAACTTTATGACCAGCTTCAATGGCCCGGGCGAATTGTCCGGACCTTTGGTATAGACCGCGATAATTTTGTCCAAATGATTGATGTATAGGCGATTTAAAGGGGGACTTGAAATTGTAATGAAGGCTTCTGGGTAATATTTGATGCCTATTTGCAAGGTGAGATTGCGGGGGTTTATGGTGGGTAGGTCTTGAATAGTTGTTTGTCCACCGTACATTACGATTCGACGGTTCAACCTTGTCAGTGGAATAACTCCGGTCTGGCCAGCTTGCTTCATGGCCATCCAGGCTGCGTAATGACCTGCGGGCTTTTATTATGTGGTCAGTGGAAAACTGGAGGTTAACAGGCTTGTATGGATACCTAGTTTTTAAGTCCGGCGACAAGGAATTATTTGCACCCGATCCAACGTATGATATTGACGATATTGTTGGTAGCGGTGCCAACTCAGATTTATCATGACGACGAATGCTTTTCGAAGGCGAAGCATAAATTTGAGAAAGCTGCCCATTCGTAGATTGAAAAGACGAATTCCCTCCTTGACTGATCTTGACGCCGACATTAGATTGGTAGGCTTGGCTTCCTGTGCCATCTGTAAGGACACGGACGGAAACATGCATTAATTGTAGAGATACAAACATATTTTTTTGTTTCATTACTTGGTAACACATACTTCGATGTATCGAGGTTTACTAGAACAATAGAGGGTGATTCACGGAACATCCTGATTTGAAAGCTCAATAAAAATAGAACTAGTAAAGATGTAATTACAACCACAAATTTATTGAAAAATTCATTACCTGAAATTTTTGATCATTTAGTTTTAAAGATTATATCGGAAGAATGACCTCCCCCATTATAAATGAATTCAATTAGACGATTTTTTAAGTTCCTTTCAACTTGCAGAGGCATATTGACTGGTATGTTGGCAATGGCTTGGCGTATGTTGTTCTTCAAATGAGGTAGAGTTCTTGGACAGTCATTGTAAGCAATTGATTTGTGATAACCTCGTAAAAAAGTATACGGAGCCAAATCGGGTGATCGGGCAGGTCAAAGAAGGTCACCTCTCAAATAGATGAGGCGCATCCCGAGTACGGAATGCTCGTTGAGTAGCGATAATGGGAAGGCCATTAGATAAGTACGCCTCGACAGCAAACGCACGCTGCTCACTTGTCCAATGAATAGTTGCAACTGACTAGGCGGGACAAAAGACTTCAAGACCTGAACTTTCATATGAAATGCCCCTTCTTTTTCCTAAAACATCTAGGCTGCTTGGTGCATAATACAAAATAGGAAGTTTTCGTGAATCACCCTGCATACTCTGTATTGTGTGCTGAATGAACATAATAGATACCCTAAATTATTAGTAAAAATTAAGAAGTGCTATAATTATTAAAGTATTATAAGTAATAAGTGCAATGAATTTTTAATTTAGGTTTCTTCTATCATGATCGTGAATTTTTATCTATGTCATGATAAATTTTTTATCGTGATCTATCTTTACGATCGTGAATTGTTATTTAACAGCTTAAATTACAAAATTTACTCTTGCCAAACGTATAACCAATTGAAGAAAAAGCTCGTATAGTAACTTTAATTATCCATCCAACGATGCTATTGCGCAAAAATCACGTAAGTATATATTTATAGGCATATCTTGTCATTTTAATGCGGGCAAAAATAAGAATACTCACATACACTCATGAGTTGCATCAGCAAACAGATTGCCTCTTTTCCAGTGAGGCCAAACATGGTTTCAATTTATAAAAAGTCTCTAATATCATTATCAAATAAACAAAAACTTGTCGCTATAAGAGACACCAGTTAGGTCTCCTCAATTATCCAGTTCAGGGAGGAAAATAGAATGGAACCCTTAAGATGGCGAACGCAGTGGCTCAGATGGTCCAGATGCGCATTAACACAGCGTACGCATTCCTGAAAGCAAAAAAAGTTCATATTATATTCGATTCCACACATCGATTGCGAGTGGAAACTTAACTTAGTTAATTCCAATGCATACAAGAAGCAGGTAATGCCTGAATTAACATGGCTTGTACATAAAATGACGAGCCATTATCAGCATACACGTAAAAAGCCTCCTGTGTCTTGCCGTTAGTTAATTATAGGCTCCGTATTTAACGTTCATTGAGCGTAATCTTCAATGCGCTGCAAGATTCAAAGCTTCAAAAGACTCAGAATCAAATTAATTATCACGTAATTATATCTGGTTTAGGTTTATCTCCCATTAACTAATGTTCTCTGGCAGAGTTGTTCTTATTACTAGAATTTGAAACAAGAACCAACACAAGGGGCCACAGCTATAAATTAAAAAAAAATGCGGTGCAACTTATCCACGCGACAACATTTCTTCTCGCTTCGAGTCCCCGACATGTGGAACAGCCTCCCTGAAGATATTGTTGACGCTCCGAGTATGAACGCGTTCAAGAACAGACTAGACAAGGCCATGCATGAGCATATGTTTAGTCTTAAAATGTCTCGTATCCTACGGAACAACTGAAGTCTAGAAGCGATTTTAAATCTGCCGTCTGTTGAAAAGATTTGATCAAAAGGCCAGTCTAGTCAAGAAAAGCACAAGAATCGGCGACAGACCTATCCAGGCCTATTCTTTAATGCCGAAGATACTATACTATACTATACTATACTATACTAAACTAAACTATACTAAACTATACTATACTATACTATACTATACTATACTATACTATACTATACTATACTATACTATACTATACTATACTATACTATACTATACTATACTTTACTATACTATACTATACTATACTATACTTATGTCACGCTTTACTAACAGCCGGTAAGAGGTTTGCTATGAGACCAAGATCGACTCTTTGTCTTGATTTGAATATTAATATTTAATTTGATGTTCTGTATTATCATGTAAATTTCGATTCTCCCTTCTTGTCATTCAAATCATTATAACGATATTAATGCAATTAACAATTAATGCACCTCTTTCGTAAACCAAATCTCGTTCTTGAAAAAAGAATGCTTGAGGAAGAGAGAAAAATGCCCTATGTATAATAGCATAGTATAGTATGTAATATACTATAGTATGTAATAAATCTTTACGTAGATGCAGCGATTGAACCAGCCTTTACAACCACAAATTGTACAGGAAAAAAATTGTATTTTACAAGCTCCTAATATTTCAAAGTAAATATATGCAGGGAAGTGTGATCATTGAGGCAGTTGAGGTGTGTGGTGGCGAGATCATCATGAAGGTAATGACAGCGCTCGCTCCTCGTAAGCTTGTAAACAGGAGGCTGTCGAGTGGACCTTTATGCGCTGTGCAGATTTAGCTTGTAATCTCGTCCACGATGATCGTTGTAATGAGATGCGATCACGCATGCGTGGCAGCCCTCACATCAAAGCGTTTCATGGGCCAAAAGGAACACAACTAGGATATTTCAACCCCTGAATTTTGTCGTCACTGATGGGTGATTTGGAAAACTGTTTTGATTTAATACTGAGCCCCTTTGAAGAATTGTTTAAGATTACTCAACAACATTGCGCTTTATTCGTTTTTTTCAAGTAACTGCTACATTTCCCATATATTAAATTGGACTGAGGATCGAGCCTCCTCAATAATTTTCATACCGCCACAGAATAAAGCAAAACCAACCGTCTCCTAATTGCATTATTTTCGACGTTCTGTCATTTATTTTTTTCTGAGATTACATTCTTTTTGTTAAGTTAGGAATATGAATTTATAGATATATTAAAAGCTCTACAAAATAGATCAAATAAATTTGATACAGTATCTTTATATCGCAGCGATATTTCATGAGAAGCAATTGATTACGTTTGCACATTGTATCACCCTAGAGGCATTTGAAACAGGGGCCAAATAACCGTAGCCTGCAACTGCTTGGCCTCGCGCCTTTTACCGAGTCATTTTATGAACACCGAGGGACCGGCCATTTTTATTGAGCAAATTGTCACATAGCTTCGCAAGACTGCCACGGCAATAACCAGCAGTTCGTACCAACTGTGCAATGCCAGCACCACTTGGCAAATACAGTTTTTCCACTGGACAATTATTTACAAACGCTCGATTACTGTAGAAACTTCAGGATTAGCGAAAATACTCTTAAACAGTAAATATATTTATTTTTATGATATCTTTAAGAAATTATTTATCCATTACATACAGACAGACAAATTTATCCATGTCCGTGTGTCTGTCTGTCCGTCCGTCCGTCCGTCTGTCCGTCCGTCCGTCCGTCCGTCCGTGACCTCAAGTTTTCGTCGACGAGAAAATGCGCTCTCTGTCACTCACTGCTGTGAGTACTGAGTTATATTTTTTATATCATGTCTTATGTTCACATTATAGTCTTGCATTCCGTTGCCTTTTTCATTCGACTCTAGTCGCCTAAAAAACACTGAGCATTAGTCAAGCAACATACATTGATTCTCATTAATTAGTTTTGTACTAACGACCGAAATACTTGGATTTCCTTCTGGAAGTTTCACATTTTTCCAGATAAATATTGTCCTCTATGAAATCTGGCATCGATACTATGTGAAACTGCATTGAATTTGACACCCGCGTTAAAAAAACGTAAAAATTAATTTTCGAAATGAAGCTGTGAACTCAATTGAGTAAAAGATCCTAAGCTCAGAAAGCAGGATATGTGGAAGACTCGTTATCGAGCTCAATTTTCAACGATGAACGAAGACATTAAGATCTTTTTTATGTCAGTTTAAGACTCAATAAGCCACGTAATGATGCAAGGTTACGAGCGATACGACGCTTTCCCTATCGCATCTGAGAAACTTTACGGAGCATCAGCTGACTCAGTCGGTCGGGTTTTTATTACTGCTTCCACGCATTTCATTGTTTTAATATTATTGAAAGTTTGAATATTCAAGGAAAATATACATTATAATGTTTAATGGTGACAATGTCACTATGTTTGCAGAGTCCGATTGATTCATATAAATTTGCCTAAATATTAACGAGTATGAGATTTCCTTAATTTATAGACTGTGCTTCTTTTGAACATACCTATATTTTAACGACAGGTTGATACCTAAGACTCTCAATGCAACCGTATTGATTGTCTAACAGTCACATTCCTTCCGAATTAAACAAATTGTTGGACATCTAAGCTAGTGAAGCCTATAATGCAATAACTCAATTCTGCGCATCATTTTTTTCAATTTTACAAACAGCAAATGTTATGGACTGTTCGTATGCCATAATGCTCACCTTTAGTGCCGGAAATCCAGCACTGTTCATATGCATAATGTACTCTTTGCGCTGCGGTAATACCGCACTGTTTGTATGCCATTGTGCTCATTTTTTCAGACCGGAAATTCCGCCCCGACAATGCTAGCACGCACAATGCCTTTGCCTTCAAAACTCATGAATATTCCACTACAGTCAACAAATATCACTAACAAGAGAAATGGAGCCAGGCTTCATACTTCTTGTCGGCTGAACGTATTGTGTAAAAACAATAATGAATGATTTTGTCCATAAATTCATGGGAAATAATAATAATTTGGGAATAATTTCGTAAATACATGAAGGAAAAGGGTTAAATTTATTTTCCTTGATTTACATTACACAATCGTGTTGCATTGGAGGCAGCCAGCCATATTGAAGCAAGCTTGGGAACTATTATCAGCCAACCGATAAAGCTGCTGGTATACCGCTGCTGTGTTAGTTGATAGCTCAGCATTATTCTGAAATTTTTTTCAATACAAATTAATATTTTTTCACTTTATTTTTTTACGACAGAAAAGTTGTTGTTCATGGTCATGCACCAAATTACGAATGCACTTTTTAAATCACAACAAAAATATAGCTGTAACATCAGTATAACATCGAGTGCTTAAAATTTTATCATTGCCAGTGTGAGGAAAAGAGCCATTAGACCGTTCAGAAGCTCTAAACTGCTGATAAAAATATCTTCCTTGTTAAAAGCGCGTTAAGCTTTCACGCTCAAATCAAGTAAGAAGCGAAACATATGAAACGAAAAACGAAATGAAATGAAACACCAAATAAGTAGACAAGCTTTGAAGCTGTATTTCGTGTATGGCTAAACCATTAATCACGGCAACGAGGCAGAAGAAGATTTAGCTCAGATAGAAACGCTGTCGAGCTGTGCCATCTGTTTCCGCTGTTCAATAAATTATCCATTCAGTTGCACATGAATTTTTTGAATTTTCAAGGAAAACATTAAGTGATCGCACGTTGGGCGGAATGAAAATTAAATACTTCATTTGGACGGTTAAAATTGAAGAAAACATTTGTTTATGCGATGCTTTAGAATATTTCTAATTCTTTCATTGCACGAACCTCATTAAAAGTTTCGTCGATTAATTTGTCCGGAAAATTCAGAGCATAGAAAATAAATTCACAACTAAATTTTCTTACTGAAGCACAATATATTTTGTACTGTTATCTTATTACTCGGTAGTTTCATTTTTCTTTCACGGAAAATTTATAGCTACATTTTTTCATTCGTTCGCCATGTTTCTCTTGCAAAAAAGTATTATGGTAAAAGAACCCGTGTTCTGGAGCGCCGACATCCCAGCAATCTAAACAAAACAACAGTGCAAGACAATCTTATTATTCGTGAACAATATTGGTGGAGATTCTTCGGTCGATTCTTTTTCTGCACCGAATACGACTTTTAAAAAGGTGTAGACATAGCCTATTGTTGTAGGCGCCGTGCAGGGCGGTTTCTA